TTTGCCATTTAAAATTGCCTTCTCTAAAATGATGTAAAAATTTGTATACCTTACAATCCAATTTTTTTCGACTATTATTAAATAAAGTAATAAAAAATAATAAATATTTACTAAAAATTATCTACGGATGAACAAATTTTATAACTGTGTACAAAAATTTTTCGAATTCGCTTATAAAGTCCCCGAGTTCTGGCAAAATGTGCAAAAAAGTAAAATTAACAGAAAGGGGTGAAAACTTTTTACCGCTCTCCTGACCAAAGTATTGGGACCATATTTCCCGGATTGCGGCTACTCCCTATTTTTTGAGGATCAGGAATCCTAATCCGTCGAAAAAAAGTTATGTTTATTTAGAGAAAGTACTTTTTTGTGTCTAATTTCATTACTTAAAATTTCGTCTGTTCTAATTAATTAGCATATTTGAGGTCACCCGCTCGAACCATTAAGATTGAGTCCTGGAACGCAAATAGCCGATCATTAGATCAAAAGTTATTCAGGGTTGTCCATTTTTTCTTTTGTGCACTGTACATCCAGCACTGGGTCAAACACATTGTAAAATTGATTTGCAAAGGTTATATTTTTTAAGCTAACAATAAGAAATCCAAAGCTTCTGGAAAAAAATGTACAGGGAAAGTTGAAATACCTCATTCTTTCAAAAAATTAAAAAAAGAAGTTTTTTTTATTTATTTTTAAATGCATGCATAATTAATTTTAAAAAAAAAATCTGTTAATTTGGTAAAATCGGTGTAGGAAGCGAGTGAGCTCACATTTAATAACTTATGTGGGTGAAAATGAATTTTTCTATGAAAGGTTTCTCCCACGTTATAACGTCCTCTTTACCCTTTGACGCAGATTTTTTTAAGCATATTTTTCACACTTTTTTCATTATTTTGTATTAATGTAAGTTAAAAATATTTTATTTAGGATTTTAATAATGTACATTTCTGAAATACAGCGTGTCTTTTATCTGAGTTAAAGGTCTAAAGATGTAGACTCTGAAATAATAATGAACAAACTCATCATTACATTTTAATTAAAAGAGAGTTTATTATATTATGTGAATATTTATTTACTTTTTAAAATTAAGGTAGAACGTGAAACAACTTTTAAACAAATTAGTATAGAAATCGCAAACTGTTTTATAAACTGTTAATATTTATGGCTAAAAGTTTCAAATTAATTTGTTAAAAATTAAAAAAGAAAAAAAAAAAAAAGAAAGTTTGTATTTTAAAATAAGAAAGGATTTGCATCTGACTTCCTATTGTTAAAAACGTTTTGCGAATTATATCAAGTAGTATTTTATTTACGTCACACGTCGTTTATTGCGTCGCTAAACAATGGACTATTGGTGATGGTCTAAGAAACATCCCTGAGCATGTTCCTAACGCATTTCATCACAATTTTGATCCTCTGCAGAGGGGATGACTCTCCTACTTTATTAGCCCAATGACCGGCTCGCAAACTTAGGAATTTAACGGTAGAACACTTTAACAAGGACCGATACCGAGCACTCTCGTTTCCTTTGGGGGTTGCCAATGAGGCTCAGTGGCGTACGCAAGGGAGGGGTTTTGGGGTTTAAACACCCCCCTTGAGCTCAGACAAAATGGCAAAAATAAAAATTTTAGTAGAAATTATGCGAGCTATTCTTTTTTAAGACAATATATTTTTATTTGCCTTATGCCTACTTTTTTTTTCTCACGGTATTTCTCAGAGTACTGAAAAAACATTTACTATAATAGGGTTGTACTTTTGAAACCAAATTCACGTGATACTGTTACGGACTGGTTCCTTTCTGTCCTGCCAGTATAGTTTTCGAGACTGGCTGTCATTAGCGAGATCTTTACGCGATGATTCTGGAATCCTAGACGTTCTGTCGTCTTTGAGACAATTCGAGAATTTTGGAGATGCGGTGAAAAATTATATAAAAGGGGGAACGGAGTACAGTGGATGATGTAATATCAAATGATAAGGGGTCCCCTTAAAATGGATTTTTGAAAATAAATTTTAAAAAATTAAGAAAAACAATGATTTTTTTTAAAAAAGATCAATTTTAAATACATATTAAAATTTTTTCAAAATGTTATGATTANATATAATATCTTAAGTATATTGATGATAATTTTTATTATCGATACTAGATACTTTTGTGAAAAATTTGCATTGATATTTGTCCTTCAAAACTGTTTTTAGATGCCACTGTGATACACTGTTTTAACAATGAGCCTATCTGATAAGATATGTATTTTTACTATTATGCTGATATATTTTAACATTTTCTTCAAACGTGTTAAGAACTGCTTGCGGAAGTTATATGATAAAATGTTCTACTTGATCAGATTATTGAACTTACGTTTCTGTAGTTTTTGATAAAATTATCTTGATATGTTTAAATAAAAAGATAATAAAATAGGACCTTGGAGTTTCTGAATAGCCCTGAATTGTGTTCAGTAGCAAAAGTTGCTAAAATTAAACGAGTATTTTTATTTAAATTAATTTTCAATCTGTTGATTTCTATGTTATAGATACTACTTAAGGTGAGCTAATTTATTTTCCTAAATGTAATTTGGATGCATGATGCATGAAACATTACGTCATTCATGATTTTTTCTGTAATCATTTAAAGTAATACCAAATTGAAAATAGTACAATAATTGTAGTTTTTATATAAAGTTTTCAGTTAGTAGGTTTCTAGCATAAGATACAACTTCAGATTAGATTATTATAACCTGCTAAACTTTATTTGGTCATTACGTGAAACATAATATCATTCATATTTTTTCTTCGAAATTTTTCTATTAATTAAAAAAAAAATCCAAATTAAGATATTACATTAATTACAGTTTTTAAAAAAAAAAAAATCTTCAAATTTCTTCATTACTGAATATAAGATATTTGTAACTTGTTAAACTTGAGTTGGATCCCGCAGTAGACTGATCATTAAGACACGGTTCCCAGCAGATCACCGAAGTCAAGCATCACTGGCTGCGGTCAGTCAAGCATCACTGGGTGGGTGACTCACTTGGATCAGTCGCGTAGGGACCGAGGGTGTGCGGTATTGGTCCTCGTTAAACTGTGCTACCATAAAGTGCTCAACTTCGCGCGCAGGTCGTTGGGCTACCGAAGCAGGGGTGCCATCCCCTCCGCAGAGGATCAAAATTGTGATGGCATGTCTTCGGATCATCCTCAGGGATGTTTCCCAGACCGTCGCCAATAGCCCATTGTGCAGCCCTAGTGCGACGTAAATGAACTACAACAATAAACTTGATTTGGCTGCATCATTGGATGAATCATAACGTCATTTATATTTTTTTTCTTAGAATTTTTCTATAATCTTTTAAAATAATTCAAAACTGAAGTAAAACCAAATTACAGTAAAAATATGTTAGGTGAATTTGAGGAAATAGCCTTTAACTTGTGTATCAACCTCAGAAAGGTTTTTGCAGATCTTAATTTTTCCATTAGAAACTGTCTTATTCAATGATTTTGCCGAAAAAACAATGCTCTATGCATATAACTGACTTATGCATATTCTTGAACTTTAAATGTTAGTGCTCTCAGAATGTTACTTAAACTATACTCTTTAATTATTATTAAACTGTATGCGATCTGTTAAAAAAAAGTTGTTTTACTTCTGTAATATCTATGTTAAAAAATCACACGATAAAAAACCTTATTTTTTTTGTCTTTAATCATAGGAATGGTTTTTTAAGGCAAAGCCTGTTGCGTGACTGCATTAATTTTTTAAATCAAATACTAATCTGGTATACATACTAATCTCGTATAATCAAATACTATTAATCTGGTATATATATATATCTGCTGTAGCGATAATTTTTGTGTTATATAACTGAAAAAAGTCTTGCTCTGTGTGATTTCATTATTAAGGAAGTAAAAGATAATAAACTTTTTTAGCTATTTATTATTATTTTTTTAAAGCCCTAGATTTTAGACTTTGTTTAGTTTAGTTTAGTTTTAATTTCGTTATAGAATTGCACAAGCAGTGAAAATAATCTGCAAAACCATTTTCCTTACTTGGGAATTACACTAGATTGACCTTCTATACAACCGTGCTAAGATAAAATAAATGTATCAGAATCGATTCACAATCATTTTTCCCCTTAAGAAATTCGCACTTTCTTTTTACTGATATCAATAGCTGTGAAAATGACCTGTAAAACTGTTTTCTGCTTACGCTACCCTGATTGACCTGCTGTAAAACAATGGAGGGATAAAATTAGCGTATCAAAATCAATTCCCAACTTTTGGAAGCTTTTTTCCCCTAAAAAATTCGCACTTTCCTTTTACTGATAACAATAGTGGTGAAAATGACCTGTAAAACTGTTTTCCTGCTTACGCTAGCATTGAACTGCTGAAAAACAATGGAGGGATAAAATTAGCGTATCAAAATCAATTCCCAACTTTTGGAAGCTTCCCCCCCCCCTAAAAAATTCGTAGTTTCCTTTTACTGATAAGAATTGCGGTGAAAATGACATGTAAAACTGTTTCCCTGCTTACTCTAAGCCAGGTTGACGAGCCTATGGAGGGATAAAATTAGTTTTACATTTTTCTGAAACATATTATTTTCCCAAAAATTCGTATTCTCCATTTACAGGTAACATTTGCAGCGCAAACTACCTGTATATCTGTTTCCCTGCTTCATCTGCAATTATACCGGAAAACGCTCTCGCAAGTGAATGGATGACAATGGCTCTTTCTATAATAGCCAAGTTTTATGTATCAGATTTGAAAAACATTTCAGACGTTCTTTTTAAAATTTGATTAACTTACTTAATTTCCGAATTTTAATTCGATAAATTTTATTTCATAGAATTTCGCTTACATAATGCCTTTTAAATAATTTAAGTGGTTTAACGTCATTTTAAGCTTTTTTAATTTGTGTAGTATTTAGTGTAGTAGGTGAAACAAAGTTAAATATTTTTTGATATTTTGTTGTGATATTATTAAGTTTTATTTTTTATAAATTAAAAATGTTGATAATGCGGTAGTTTTCACCTAATATTTTTAAATAAAGAGCGCTATTATTTAAAAATGAATAAAAAATAACTGAAAAATTTCTCTTTTTTATTTAAATAGATTTTCAATGGACGCTATAAAAAGTAAACTGAGTGCTTTAAGAAAAGAGTTTGGTGATGTTCAACCTTTAGTTGCTGTTTTAAAAGTAAGTTTTTAATAGATATAGTTGACAAAATTTATAAATATTTGGTAATGATCTTTACTAAATAATATAATTTTGTTATCTAAGTTTATTATAATTAATAATTATAATTAATTATAATTATAATTAATTATATTTTTATTATATAGGTAAATCAAGTGGGTGATAGCATCCCTTCTAATGCAATAAGAGGGACTTTAGAAGCAGTTGGTGNTTATAATTATAAATATAATTATAATTAATTAATAATTAATTATAATTATAATTAATTATAATTTTATTATATAGGTAAATCAAGTGGGTGATAGCATCCCTTCTAATGCAATAAGAGGGACTTTAGAAGCAGTTGGTGTTTCTTTAAAATCTGTTGCAGTAGACACGGGAGATAATGATTCTTGTGTAAGTATATTGTTTCATAAATATTGTTATTAATTAAATGCAACATTTGAAACCATAAATACTATGCGTTTTCATAAACAAAATCAAAATAATTTGTATAACAATGTGTATTTATGCTAAAATATGAAAGCTTTGGAGAATTTTTATAATAGTATATAAACATTAATATATTTTTAATTATCACTTTCTGAAAGCAATAAACTTCTACCATTTCGCGTTTGAATCCATGCTAAATAGTAGGATATTGTTTCCCGCCAGCAAGGCTTGAGATAATATCGTAATAAGGTGAAATTTTTGGTACTTTAAACTGTTCCTTAGTATTGTTTACAGATGGGTTAGCAAGTTTCATTCATCTCTTCTAGATAGACACAAAACACAAAAAATTTTTTTTGTGTTGTCATTATACTGTCACAAACTCTTGATAGGTTTAAAAATTTCTTGTATGAAGTTATATTTTCATATTTTAGTAAAGTTTAATTTCAATCAAAATTTTTGGATATTTATTGTCCTGTAATTGTTTTTGTTTAACTACTTCATTGAAGTGTACATTATTAACAGGAAATATATTAGGAACCCATCGAATATTGCTTAAGAATTTGATCGAGTTACTTAAGACACTAAATTCTTTTATCATTAAAAATCTTGCAAAAAATCGCGAAAATAATTGAATTTTGGAAAATATCTTAATAAGGGTTTTTTGAGTTGCCTTTTTTTCTGATAAGAGAGAGGGAGTCAAAATTACCTTAAAACATGCAATGCTTACCTAATGTTTAATTGGCTTTTTAGAATTTTCTGATAATCATGCATATTTTTATTTTAAGACCAAATATCTGTTTATGTTACGACCAAATATCGATTGATGGCATTTCTATTTTATTAACGCTATTTCAGCTCTATGATTTTTTCGTGCTTAATATTGATTTTATTTTATTGTAATTCATTGATAATTTGTTGATAGGCTTTAGTATACCTGCAAATCATAGTTCAATTAAATTAAGATTTAAAATAAGACAAATATTTTGTCATTTATTTCTTTACATCAGAATGATTTCAATATAAATTATAAAATGATATGTTTTTTTAATCTATGCATTTATTTATAGGTTTATGATGCAATCGCACAGCTGAACAAAGATTCAAGCATTCATGGAATTCTAGTTGAGGTAAAACACGCAAAAATATATATTTTTTAAATTTAGTTCAAAGATTTTGTTCTTATAAATAATGTTAAACAGTTCAATAAATAATGGCATATATTATAAGTTTAATAAAACCTTAAAAACAGAAATAAGTTTTCTTAAGCATATCCAATCAAAGAATGAAAATGATTTAAGCAAATTAAGAAAAAAGCAAATTAAGAAAATAACACTTAAAATAATAATAAGTCAAAATGGAAAAGCTCTAAAAGCAGCTAAAACCAAATTTGTCTTATTTAAACAATTTAGAAAGTTAGAAACACAAATCAAGCAAAAAAAGAAGAATTTCTTGAAACGAAAAAGAAAAGGAAGAAAAATTGAAAAGAAGAAGAATTACTGGATTTGTGTTTCTAACTTTCTAAAATGTTTAAATAAATCAAATTTAGTTTTAGTTGCTTTTAGCGATTTCCATTTTGTCTTATCATTATTTGAAATGTTATTTTCTTAATTTACCCATTTCTTGCTGTTTTTGCTAACATACATAACTTTAGAAATTCTTCTTTTTTGTTGATTTGTGTTTCTAACTTTCTAAATTTTTTCTTAAGCCCATTAATTATTTTATCTATGTAAAAAATTTGTTATAAAGGATTAAAGTTCTTTTAGTGCCATTATTTGTAACATTTATTTTTATTTCACTATAATATTAATATATGATACATTTTATATACAGCTTTTATGCTAGCATGTCATATTGAAAGCATAGATTACAATGAAATGGACAAAGGAAAAAAAAGATGATTTACGAGTCCCTTAAATGTATTATTCTTATTTGTTGTTCAATAAGGTTGGAAATAGGTATAAGGGGATGGGGAAAGCAGTGCATTGATAATTTTTGTAGGAGCATAGATGATGAGATTAGACAACAGTGCATTGATGAATGAAGATGATGAGTACACTGATGATGAATGAAGCTAAGAAAAGGATATTATGTTGTATGTTAAAAGTGAAGCTAGAAAGGTTTGCACATTAGCTCTCGCAAATTAATATTAAATGTGAAAGACACAAAATAGCTATCAAACTAAGTGAATCATTTGTGAGAAATGTCAAAACCAGTTTGATTGCCCACTACCTTAAGCATTACTAATATTTATCTTTTAACTCTTTTCTGTTTCTTGCGATTTAGATTTCGAGAGTATTTTTGCTTTTACTTTGATTGAATGTTCATATTTATTATATTTAAATTGTGCATACTAATTTGACTTCATATTTGATAAGTATTCCAAAAATTTGCAGTAAGAACGATATGATTCATTATGTCTTTTGACCATAATTACTTATTTGGGGATAAATTGTGCTTGATGCGGTTAAGAAGCAATTTAAACTTAAATTGTAGGGAGGCTAAGTTCTTCTGTTAAGATTTGAGCACTCTAGCTTGTCGGAAGGTGATTAAAATTTTGATTGATTATTTTCTTTTAATAATAATATCGGTATAGATTTTGCTTACTTCGGTCATAAAAAGATTGAAAACTTTTTTTTTCATTCAGCACAGACTTCCACTTAAAATTCTACTTTTCTAGTCAGTCAGAGAAATGATTAAAAATTTGATCTACAACAAATTACTTTTAGCGATAACCTGATCATAAATTTTTTTTTGTAGTGGCCGGAAAACAATCGACTTCAATTCGAGATTTGAGAGGTCCAACTTCTCAAAATTTTAATTGCATAATTCCACCCTCACAATTGAGTTGATTACAACATATTAAAACAGAAAAAAATTTCTTTTTTCGTATTATGTTCTCTATAAATTTATTTAAAAAGGCTGGCTATTTTCAGCAATCACAGAAGTGTTCCCTTTTAAAGATCAGAAAGAATCTAGCAGAATTATTTATTCCGAATCTAAAGAATTAATTGTTAATTATATTACAAACTTAGAAAATATATATTGCTTATTCGATTCATTATCAAATAACATTGTAGCTGTTTGGCATTTTTATTAAATTACCATTTATTATTACACTCTAGTTACCATATGATTTCTCTGGTGACCATCAAAGTTTGTTTGATTCAATTCTACCTGCTAAAGACATCACTGGGTAAGGACAATTTTCTGAATCTAAAAGAAAATGAATCTAATAATTTAAAAAATTTCTGTGAATCTGTCACAGATAATTATTTTATTATCAGCAGGGAACAGCTAGCTTTTAATGTTCTTAAAGTTTTTACTCTGCTCTCTGTACTTTCAAACCCTAGGACTGATCTTTAGAAACGGTATACATAATTAATAAAATGTTGGTTTTAAAGTAATATTTCTTTATTTTACTATAGAGCGTCTCTTTTCAAATTCGTAAATCTTTTCTTCTTTCAATTTCGTACTTCTTTTTCTGTACTTCTTTTCAAATTCGTAAATCTTTTCTTCGTTCAAATTCGTACTTCTTTTCAAATTCGTAAATCTTCTCTTCTTTCAACTTCTTTTTCTGTACTTCTTTTCAAATTCGTAAATCTTTTCTTCGTTCAAACGTTCAAATTCGTACTTCTTTTCAAATTCGTAAATCTTTTCTTTCAAATTCGTACTTCTTTTCAAATTCGTAAGTCTTTTCTTCTTTCAAATTCGCACTTCTTTTCAGATCACTTAGCAATTGGGACTTGTTATGCTCCCATTTCTCCCTCTGATCCTCCAAATATATATATATATATATAAAAATTAAGTGACAAAAAATTACTATAATTCTACTTCCTTATAGTTTAAGCTTGACCAAATCAGGCGGTGTATAAAAAAATAAACTGACATAAAATAAGTTAAAAACAAATGTTCTCTTCCCTAATTTATATCAAAGGCTTTGTCCCTTTTTCGCTGTTGTTCGCCAACCGTCTGAAAATATTTTAGATTTCAAATGTTGAAATCAATATTAAAATCAAGCTCCCTAATTAAAATAATATTTTTTTCCCATTTAAATTTGGCTGTGGCTGCGAAAGACGGGTAATAGTTTGAAACTGCATAAAAAAACACCAAAGTTTTAAAATTTAATTCCTACATTAACATTTCAAAAACCTCCAAACTTTTTTTTTTTTTTTAATCTTTTTTTTTTAAGCATTGCTTGACTGCAAAAATAAATAAATAAATATTTCACTGCAATTTTTTTTCTTCTTCTTTACATTGAAAAATTTTCTATATAAGCTCTTTAATTTCTCCAAAACTCATTCGAAATTTAAGCAAAGTGAAAAAATGCACTACATGCTTTCACACATACGTGACTGTAAAAATATTTATTTTTTTGGTTTAAACAATACACTTTATTTTGTATGATTATTAACAATTATCTGACTACATTGATACATTTTTTAGGCTTTCTCGGGACAGCGTGAATGGATTTTTGAGGAGACGCACTGATGCTTCTCAACATGGTTTTTCTGCTGCAATCCTTGAACTGATAAAAAAACTAAGTATGTTTTTTTTTTAAAAATTTTGCTGCTGTGTTTTTAAGAAAACTATTTTTGTAAAATTTTAAAAATTCAGATATAATACAAGATAAGATATTCAAATATATTTCGATTTTCGAAAAGTTAATTAATGTTCAATTACTTAAATTTAATTTTGCAGACATGGCTCAATCAAGGATGCCTCTCTATCTTTTAGATTTTCCTAAAATATGCAGGTGGTAGAATTCTGGTATCACCTGTGCATCTTAAGCATATTAAATTTATTTTTCATGTTTATCCTTCCTGCAGATATAGAATGTTTCATATGGAACATGGGGTTTTCAGAACTAGGGGAAATATTAGTTTTATAGCCCCCATGCAACATGTTGTCAGATTTAGGAGGCCTTTTCAGGACCATTTTAGGATTTAAAATGTGAAATACTGATATCCAACGCTCGTATCATTGGATTATTATATTTTACACTTTTTGAAGATTTAAATAATGTTTTTTAAAACAATGCAACTCAATAGCTTCATGCATTTTCAATTTATTCGCTTAAAAATTTAACAGTATATTTGATTAAGGTAGTTTTTATTATTCATTGATGTTTTTTTTATCACATTATTGTTTTTGATTGATGAATTGATATACATTTGTCAGGGTATTTTTTTTTAATTCAATATATTATCAATTTGTTCAAAATAGTTTTGAAAAAAAATCCTTTTGTGCAAAGTGAACCACTGTAATAATAGTTATTCTGTTCAATTTTTAGATAAATCAGATAAAAATAGGTACAAATTATAATGCTGTATCTTGTAAATGAAACTGGGACCATTTTGAAGAAAAACATTTTATTTTGTAATTCATTTTTCATAAAATTGACGCCTCTCTAAAGCTATACCCAGGGACAAATGTTCCTTCTTGTCTCCTTCTCCTGCTAATTAGGCTACTGCATGGGCCCACACAAAAAATCAGCAATCTGGAATGCTATGTTTAATGAACATTAAAAGTAATAGAGTTTTAGAAAAAGGTCATGGAAGTTAAAAACATTTGCAACTATGGAGCCAATTTTAGTGATTATTAACTAACACATCAAAGCATGGGAGAAATCCAGTATTGTATAGGGAATTAATCAAAGAAAGAGTTATGTCAAAGTCAATACCTAATTTTTATAATTTGGCAAAGGAAGAAGTCAATTAAATTTATTGCAAAAAGCAACCTAGTAACTTTTTTGCTAGTGCCTTAAAAAGGGTCATAAAAAGAAAGATTAAAAATAGATTTTGATATTCCTTTGTGGAACTTTTGAATAATAATTGGTTGCATTCCTAATATTGAACAGAAGATTTTAAAACTGATATCTGCCCGTTGTGTAAACTTCAATAATTAACTGTTAGAAAGGTATTAAAGATTATTAATTATGAATATAAATTTAAGAATGAAATGAAATTAAAGAGACAGATAAAATATAATGGCAAGGCACATGCTTTTTTTATTCTTTTCCTGAATCAATTTCTAAGCAGTGGCATAGGCGATGTCAATTGTCTGATCATTTTTATGAAATTTTAAGGCCAATGCATTCTTAAAATTTCTTCATGGATGCATCAGCATTTAAATTTGTTGTCAGATTTGTAATATGTACCTCTTCCGTTCTTAAACTAAACATATAAAAGAATGAATCACAACTGTAGTTAAAGCAAATTAAATATTCCATGTAATTATTTTTTCTTTCAATGACTCAGTAGTTATTAAGAAACAAAGACTGTGTTTTGACGGTTTGAAGCCCATGGGTATCATTTTTCTTGAAAAGTATGAAGAGATGGAGTATAATACTGATTACTGATCATATTTTCACAGTCATATTGTTGGTCTCAAAATTGAGGAGCCTTAACCTTCATTAACCTGTAATTTATTTTACTCCAAAGATATTTAAACTTTACTCTTTAGAATAGCTTATACATTAAGTTAAGTATTTCAAGTCTTTTGAATATTAGAATGTATGCTGACTGTGATGTTATATATTTTAGAGCCATCAGCAATGCACGGAAATATTTGCATTGTTGGATTTAAGAATCCTTCTATCTTGTCTCAAGTGCTAATCGAACATAATTCTGTAGTTACTGTTTGTCGAAATTGCGATGAAAAGTTACCATCTATTGTGAGTTGATAAGTTACTTCTTCTGTTTTATGTCTTTATTTTTTTTAATGAAATTTAATCAGTCGTTTGATGTGGGCGTAACCAATGTTTGGTGAAAGGTTATACAATTAATTAAAAAATCTTTTTTTTTTATCAATGTTAGAAACTGAAGTTAAATTTTAAAGAAATAGACATTGAATCCCTTTTATCAAACCAATATCATGCTATAAACATAACTGTTTATTGTAATATTTTTTTTCTGTAGTCTTACAATTTAATTTGCATGTCTTTGATATTAATTGTTCTTGCCATTAACCATGTACCATTTTCTTAAAAATTCGTATTTTCCTTAACGATTTTTCGTATTTAAACAGCACACAATAACAAGTTATAGGCAAAAGCAAGGCATTCTTATTGAGAGTGGTACCCTCACCAACTTGACGATTTTGGGCAACAAAACTTTTATCTTTCCGAAGTTTCGAGGCTCTAGGAGCATTAGGAAGCGAAATATCTGAAAATTCAATCAGAGCTTAGCTACTTTTCTCCTACAAAAAGGGCTCGTGATGAACCATTTTGGTTTTGATACATGAATTAAGCACATTTTGCTTATACAAAACCACATAGTTTCATCTAAAGGACAGAAAAAAATGGTCACATTTGTAGCGCAGTGTTATTTTTATTGAGGAAAAACATCACAAGGATTGTCTTAAAAAAGGCGTGTTTAAAAAAAAAAAACAAATTAGTATCACATGCCCAATAAAAACATTTGGATTTATTTCTAAAGTATTTTACACATTCAAACTAGCTTCAAACTAGTTCATGAAGCAAATTATGTGAAATAGAAACGCTCGTTGGCTGATAATTTGAGTATTTATTTACGAGATATCTTAAATTTACTGACCCGATAATCTAATATATGTAAAGTGTATTACCAAACATCAAAATGTGTTCTATGGTTGTCTATACTGGGGATCACAGCTGTCCTGATTTTCCTGATAAAAGAATATTTTGTCTTTCTTTGTCCTCATATTTAGCTTTTTCACCTCCAGAAATTCATGATTTATGTGTGTGTGTTCATGATATCCCATTTTTTACAAATAAAACTGTGGATTTTGAAATTATTGATTTAAGGAATCAAAAGATTTAGAATTTCAATCGAATATCTTTTTATTTTAATTTATAATGCTTTTAAAAATCCTAAAATTCAATAGTTTAAACTTAGACACTGTCTGTTAACATGGTTGAGGCAGATAGACTTATTCACAAGATCTATTGTTTAAAACTTTTTAAGAAATCAATAGTTTTATAAAAAAGAAACTCATTTAACAATTTTATGTTAACTTAATTATTAATCCATTTTTGTTAAATATCCTCTAATCGTTTTTTCATTTTTTAGATAAATAATGCTGATGTCATCATATCAATCAGTTTAGTTTATGAGAAGATCAAACAATGGATGAAACCAAACTCAATTTTAATAAGTTGTTCTCTTGCTTCTACAGAAGGTAAATTTGCTTCAAAAAATTTATAGGCACATTTCACTCATTATTTTTCTATTAATAATTTTTTGATAGAGAAATTGTTAAGTAATAGCATTAGTTGTTATTATTGATGATTTTTTTAAAATTAACATCTACCGATTGTTAATTGACTGCATGCATTCATATAGTGATCGTAACTTCTCATTAAATAATATTGGAGAGGAGAAATAATTTTAACTTCAGAATACTCAGTAAAAAAGTTGCAAAATTTTTCCCAGTATTTTAAAATTTTGACTTACAATCACTTTTTTTTGAACTTAGACTTTAAAAAAACTAGTAGCAATTTGAAGCATCGATACAAAAATGTTCTGCAGTTTTAAAATCAATAAGTTTTTATTTTATTTCATAATTTATATCTAAAAAGTCTTAAAAAAACATTTGCTTTGCTACTGAAAGATGAACAAATTTTGTAAAACATCCTATCGCATTTTTCTTCAAAATTTACTAGACAGAGTAAATTAAAAAAAAAAAAAGATTAAATGTTTTTATAAATAATTTGGCTCTCATTGCATTATCCTGTCAAGGTTAAACTCAATTTTCTGAAGATTTACAATTTAGCTTTTTATTTATATAGTTTTAAAATATTTAAATATTATCTACCGTGATTAATATTTTGTGTTTTATCTGTTTTTAAGTATTATTTTTATAAATTATGAAAATTCATTTTTAAGTTTTGTTATAATATTTAAAAGAAATATTACAGTAGACATTCAGCATTTTTGTTGTGATTTATTAGTACATTCTATTTTAGAAACTTTCATTTTTTTATAAATATTTTAAGTATGATTTACTTGCTATAATTTCAAAATAAAATTATTTTTGTAAATATGTTACACACTCATATATTTGCAATTCGAAAAAAAAAAAAAAAATCATGTTCCTATCACTCACATTGTTTAATAACATTCATCTCAAGTCTCATTAATTTTCGCTTTCAAGCATATTTTTCTTAATTTCCCTAATTCTTAAAAATTTAATATGCGTTTACATAAATATTTTCTTATTATTGTTATACAATGTTTTCAGAACAAGATTTGAATACTGAAAATCATATTGTCGTTTCTAATCATACATTTTATGCTGAAGTTGCAAAAGTTTATGCCAGAAATCTTCTTCAAAATATCAAAAACTTGTATGATGTAAGTAATTATTTTATAATTTTGTTCTAGGCATTTTATTAAAGCATTTAACATCTTCAATAACCTTTTTATATTTCTAAAAAAAAAAAAAATACACTGTTCAAATAATGATGATAGAAAGCAATATATTATTTTTAAGGCTATGTAATGCATGATACTTTATTCTGTAGTATGGTAAAAGTTTTCAAAAACACAAAAAAACTTTATATAAATACATAATTTTATTTGAAGTATTAAAATGTTTCTAAAAATCTTAAAAGCAAATTTCATGCAGTTATAATACTTCTTCAGTTGTATTTTCCTGAATTTGAATTTCACACTTTATAATTAGTTTAAATTATATTTCAATGGAAAATATGTATTTATAAAATGCATAGAAAAAAAAGTTAAAATGAGCTTTGTATACCAATAATCAGGATCTGCAAGTACTGGACACCAGGTGATCACGGTGTCTAAAAAAATCGTAGTTAGTGGATATTCACAAACACAATCAATCACATTCACAGAAATCAAAAAATCATTACGCTACTTCTGACTCTATAAGACGACTAAATCATTACATTACTTTTGGCTCTTAGAAATGTTGCAATTTTGTAGACCCTGGCAATAAAAATAATATATGAGTTTAATTTAACATTAAATTACAAGTTTAATTTAGCAATTTAGCAGATAATGGGCTTAAAACAAGGTATATTCGGTCACATAATCTAGTGCAAAAGTACTATTATTGACGATCTCTTTACCTGTAAACTTGAAGTCACTTTTAGTTCATTTTCTAAAGGAGGGGGCAATATTGAACATGAACAGATTAGTTAAGTAGGGAGTTCATGTTTTCTTGTATATATGAATTTTTTAAGAATTGGTAACAATTTAAGTTTTTTTTTCAATGCCCGCCTGGGGAATGGCCTCTCGTCATATTCGCCTTTTCGTCGCATCTGAAGGGCAGATTTGTTTCCACCTTTTCAGGGGCACCATTCTGGATTTGGCATACGGGGGGCATCAGGCCATACAAATTTTTGGGGCCCTTTGATTAAATTTTTTTTCTCATATATTTTTTATTGATTCAAATATAAAAGTATTTATGTATCTTTTCCTTTAAGAAAGCATATTTAAAATAAAAATTTATATTTTACTTTATTTTGTTAAATTAGAACTAAAAAATAATTATAACATTTTGAAAAAATTTGAAATTTATTAACACTTTACGAATCAACGCTACTATAAAATTGGTATTCAAAAATCTTTTTTTCTGCTCTAGCGATTAATAAACTCATCTATAATATTATCAAAATTAATTTCACGGAGAACGTCTGATTCGATAAATATCAAACTTAGCGTGTTTAATCATTTTTTAAACATGACGCTTCTCTTTTTTTAAAAAGAAGATCATTGCTTTTCTTAATTTTTTAAAATTTATTTTCAAAAAATCCATCTAAGGGAACCCCTAATCATTGGAGGCCCCAGGCCATGGCCTAGTCTGGCCTAATGGGTAATCCGGTTCTGGCACCATATTAGGTGTGCAACGTTGCTCCCACAGTAAGGACAGATAGTACTGAGAATGAAAACATCTATGCCTTGCCTGGTATTCGAACCTAGAACCTGTCTGATGCAAGGCCAGTTACCTGATCCCTACACAGACCGTTCGGCTGAACAATAAGTTAAATGAACCAATAAGATTTTTTTTAAGAACGGCTAAGAATGCTGTATTTTGAAGAAAAAAATTCAGAATTTACAAGGTCAACTTTTTAAATTAAAGAGAAATATTTAACTGACATATTACTTGTACATCATTTAGGTGGTATCATATGTTCAATTTTTTATTCTTGAAATCTATGCTTAGTCCCTATTCTTGGGTCTTCGGTTAGTATTAATGTAATGATCTTACTACTATGTTTTATTTTTTGAGTGATTATAATTAAAAAAAAACGCTTTTAAAGAGTTCACCTCATTATTTTGTTTGTGAATTTAATTTTTGAATAATACGTCTTATTTATATTTGTTTTTTAGCCTGAATGGAGTTTGAAAAGCATTCCTTTGAAATTTGGCCCACCTGGTCAAAGGTATTGTTTACTCCCTAAGATATTACATTACATACATTATATATTATGTTACATTACATTACATTACATTAGATACATTAGACATATACATTAGATATTATGTTGTGGCGTAACTACCACTATAAATATTAAGTACCAATTCACTAGTATATAAGACATGTTAACTTGATTCTATCTTGAGGTACCTTTTGATCGATGAAGGTTGACATAGTTGATTTATAATTCTTCTCAATGGTGACTTGCGGATGTGATATGAACTCGCCAACATTGATGGATGGTCTTCATTAAACAGTTGATTTGCTTTAAAATGCAGCAAAAAAAAATCTGGTGAAGTAAGCAAAGCATCCTGGTCAATAAACAGTATTGAAGAAAAAAAATTATGAGCGAAATGCTATAATAAAGAAAAAATGAAGGGAAAAAAATTATGAGCAAAATGCTAGAAACAAAAAAAAAAAAAAAAAAAAAAAAAAAAAAAAAAAAAAAAAAAAAAAAAGAAGAAAATATAATGAGCAAAATTGATGTAAATAAATAAACAGCATGAATCAACTAGTGGTATTCGTTCATCGAATTCTATCCCAGGTAAAAATTCTGGAAGAGGAGTAATGTGGTGTAACTACCACTATAAATATTCAATACTAATTCACTAGTACAGTGGGTGATCGGTTAACGAACTGATCGGTTAACGAACAAATCGGTTAACGAACACTTTCACGAAAGATTTTTGTGTTCGGATAACGAACACATATTCGGATAACGAACAATTTCGAAAAAGATTTTTTGTGTTCGGACAACGAAAACATATTCGGTTAATGAACAAAACGAATTCTAACGAACACTTCTCGGCCTGAAAAAAATTTATATTAAACATTTGTGATCATTTTGCATACGAAATAAGATCACTGAAAGGAGAAATGCTTAAAGAAGATGAACTAACGACAGAAGAACTCCAAGAAATTTTGAATGAAGAACACCAAGAAACACAGCGAAATGTGTCTCCTACTCTTGATGTACTAATGATGAAAGAGGACCAATGCCGACATCTGCCATTAAAGATATTTTGAAAAAGTGGGAGGATGTCAGAGCAATGGTCTTAGAATGGCACCCAAACCAAGCTGATGTCAATAGGTTTGGGGATCTTTACAACGACAATGCTATTAGTTACTTCCGGAAAAATCCTGAAAAAGAGAGAAAAGCAATCGACATTGGACCGCCCCATAAGCATAAAATGAAATGGATTGATTAATATGCAAGACTATATGTATGTATAATTTTTTAAAAAACTTTTTAAGAAATTATACATTTTTTAAGATTTAATTTTTAGGGTCTCCAGAACGAATTAATCGATTTCACATAGAAGTCTATGGTAAATCGATGATCAGTTAACGAACAATTCGGATAGCGAACATAGTCTTGGAACGGATTATGTTCGTTAACCGATCACCCACTGTATATAAAACATGTTAGCTTGATTCTATCTAGAGGTACCTTTTGATAGATGAAGGTTGACATTCTCGATAATTATATCCCTTCAAAGTTGTACCTAATTACTTTAGAAAATGTAATTTAATAGCACTAGTCATTTAGTATTTTCCATTATTATAATTTTTGTTAATGTATATATTCTCGGGTGGCTACAAAACAAGGAAAAGTCGCCTAGTTTTACCAATTTGAAAAAATTTAAGGAATTTAACTATATTACTCCAAAAGTTAGGAAAATTGAATAAATTTTGTTTTAGGTACCTAAAATGATTTTATAATCATTTTTATGAAAATTTTGACATACATATGAAGGGATTTAATCTTTGACTATGTCAACCTTCATCTATCAAAAGGTACTTTGTGATAGAATCAAGTTAACACGTCTTATATACTAGTGAATTGGTATTTAATATTTATAGTGGCAATTACGCCACATTACCCCCTTCCATAATTTTATCTGGGGCAGAATTCAATGAACAAAAACCACTTGTTGATTTTTTATTAAAAAAATAAGCTTTTTTCTTTTTAAAAAGTTAATGTTTTTTTTTTAAACTTCTAAGTTTCATGTCCCAAGTATTGGGAAAAATGTCTGCTGTATTTGTTGTAATTTCAAAAGATTTGTTATTGTTATTATTACTTTTATTGTATTGCTCTGTATTTCTAGCTATATATTTTTTTTGTAGTGATTTAGACATAGCAAGAGCACAGCAACTGAAACATATTGCAGATTTGGCTAAAGAGATGAATCTTTTTCCACATGAAATTGAACTTTATGGATATACAAAATGTAAAGTATCACTATCAGTTCTTGACAGGTTAAAGACTAGGAAATCAGGAAAATATGTCGTGGTAGCAGGGTGTGTAATATTTTTTTTCATTGTTTAGTGAAGTATTATCAGTGCATTAATTTTTCCCCATTGTTTTAGCTTTTTTACAGAACACTTATTAAATTAAATACTTCAATTTCTATGTGTGCTGCATTCATGTACTTAAATTCTGATCAACATCGGAATAAACTCAGTAAAAAATTTACAGAAGCAGGTTGCAACTGAATTATTGGTTTATAATTCTTTCTTAACTTAAATTATTTTTCTCTTGAATTGCACAATTACGACCTTAGCTTGTTATACATATTTAAGACTAAACATAAACTTCCTTCTCTCACAATGATAGTAATAATATTGCAAAAAAATTATGAAAATGATAGTAACAAATAAAACAAATTCATTTTTTGAGTTGAGAATCTGAGTAGTTATTCTAATAAGTCACAGAAATAGCTGTTTTATTGATACTTAATGATTTAGCAATAAATTTTTTTAGTCTGCCAAGTCTGTCTCACCAAATCATTAGAATATTAATATATATATATATGTATGTATATGTGTGACCTATTTGAATGCACACAACTTACCACAATTAATCAAATTATCTTACAAACATTACAAAAAATATCATAAAATTAAGATTATTTAGTTAGAAAAAGTTTAGTTTAAATGAGCGCTAGTAGCCAGACCATAATGGATAAAGTGGCTAATCTATTTCAATACTATCTTTTTGGAAATATTTTGTATTTTATCAAACTAAAATTGCTCTCTTTATCTGACAGATTAAATGTAATATTTAAAACAGATGTGTTTTTTTTTTTCACCTGATAGTTTGCATATAAAAAATTTAAGTGATATTGTAATTTAATAAATAAATCTGATGTAAATAAGTGTAAGGAATAGTTTTTGTCACTCAGTTATTTATTTATAGTGTATTTACCTTTAAAACTTATTCTTTTCAATCACAATAGTATCATTCTTCATATTTTGTCAGATATTGGCTGTATTTTTTAATTTTAGTCTTTATCACTGGAAAACAATCAATTTAGTCAATAGTAGTAATGCTGTCGCTACAAGTAATAAAATTTTGAATAGTAGTTTGCATCTTATTTAAAAATTTTTTTTTTAAACCAATATTCTGTTTTGGAATTTAAGGCTTATTGCTACTTTTAGATTAGCCAGGTCCTAGGGAAAAGTCGCCAAAAAATTTTGACCTCCTCTAAGTTTTTTCAAAATACTTTCTATTTTATTTATCTTTTAAACACATAAAAATTAAATTAAAAAAAAAATAGTTTATGTCTTATGCTTGGGTAACTGAAAAGTACTGGCTTATCTATTGCACAGTGCTTTCCATTGATTTAATTAACATATTGTATTATCTAATTAGTATTATTTTTTACAGTTGATTTCTTCATCTAAAATGTGAATACTTTGACTTTTTTTAGAAAATTTAGGACTCATTTATCTTTTTTGTAGAATCACACCAACTCCTCTTGGCGAAGGTAAAAGCACCACGGCAGTTGGTTTGTGCCAAGCTTTAGCAGTTCAAATGAAACGAAATACTATAGTCTGCTTACGACAACCATCTCAAGGTCCTACATTTGGAATTAAAGGTTATTTTTGTTTCTTACTTTATTATAAACCTGTCATAATGCTTTTTCCTTTATTTAGTAGTTTTATACTGAAAAAATACTCATTAGATTATTTGAAATACCCTGAATATCCTTGTTAAAATAACTAATTAGTGTGATATACATTTCTTGATGCGTAATTAGATAATCTTTGTATACGTTTATGATATTTTCGTATACATTTTCTACTTATCGAAATGTAGATGTATTATAACTGGGTAAATGATTATTTGATTAGTATTTTTAATTAATATTTTGTTACATTTGAAATAAATTTAGTTTAATAAACATGACATTTTTAAACATTTAAATTATACTTAAAATAATGTGCCTTACTTAATTAGTAATTTGTTCATTCTAAAATTATATACTATTCTTAGTTATTTTTCGTTATAATTAAAGAAAATTGCAAAAAGAGCATAAATATTTTACCCATCTAGGATTTTATTCTAAAGTTTTATTAATTTGACACACTTATTTCCGTACATCATAATTAAGAAAAATATTAATGAGTATTATTTTTAATAATAACTCTTTCCTCCTGTTTGTAGTGATTCTTAAAATTTTACAAATAAAGTGAATCTTCATTTGAATTAAAATTATTAATTTTGTAATAAACAGAGCAAATTATTTACTCAAATTTAGAAGTTAACGTTCCTGAAATGCTTCTTAAAAATATTGTTTTTTAGTATTATAATATTAAAAATATTATAATACATTAATAAATATTATAATGCTTATACTTAAAAATATTGTTTTTTGAATAATGTTATTTGAATTTAAAATACTTAAAAATTAAACAACTATTTTTGTGATGAAAAATAAGGAGGAAAATTACTATTATCCAGATAAATGTTTTTATATAATTAAAATTTATGCATATTTTATTTGCATTAGGCAAGTATGTCAATTAATTAATGTTTTTAGTTAATGTTTTAAAAAAGTTTTTTGTGCTCTTTATCAAATATATTGCCTTTTATTTGTATTCAGGTAGCCAGTTGTATGATAAAGCTAATATTGTTTTAAATTTATTGATTATAGTACAGTGACAGTGAACTATACTTGTTTGTGTTTAATTAAATTTAGGATCACAGTGAAACTAGACAATAAAGTCCATACAAAATGTATAAAAAAGCTTTGTTATCTATTGAATTTTTACATAATTCTTACAATTTTACTTATCAGATTTTATAAGCAGTTTGATCGAGCCACAAATTTCACTTACCATTGGAGTAATTTGCTTTTTTATAAAATAAGCCTATTCAGGGACTGATTTACAGGAGGGCATTCGGGGCACGTGCCCGGGGCCCCCAACATTTGAGGGGCCCCCTTTCCCAATAAATGATCTTTTACATTACATGGCCAATACAAAACCTTGTGTAGAAGATCCCTTTGAAAGAATGTTTAGAACAGGGACAACTATCAAATTTCATGAATGGGGTACTTGCATTATATCATTATTCCATTATATCATTACTATTTACTCCGCACTCGCACTAGAGCAAAATAATTTGCTATTGACATTATTTATTACAGTATTATAACAACTTTTAATGCTCTAGTGCAAGGCCATTCTTTTTACAAGACTAAGCTATAAGCTTCTGTTAGTAATTTCTCTGAAGCTTGTTGCATTAGTTAATCATTGTTGTTTATGGTATCTTAAAAATTTTCGAATGTTGATGATTACTTTTATCAGACTTCAATTACTTTTATCAGATTTCGGTACAAATATCTTGTTTCCTTCATAATTTTTAACATTCTAGCCAAAACCTCTAGATATATTTATTAAATTTTTGTATTTTTTTTAACAATTTCACTAAATTAAATTCTGAATATCTGGGGGACGTACTTCTAAATAAGGTTTCATGTTACTTGCAATTTTTATGGTCTAAAAAATACTTTTTCAATATTAAGTTTAAGACATGTTAACTTGCATGTTAACTAAAATTTATCGGCTCTTTAACTGGGGCCCCCAAATTCATCTGTGCCCGGGGCCCCCAAATCTGTAAGTCGGTCCCTGAGCCTATTTCTAATATATTAAACTGTTAGCACTGAAAAAGATAAATTTTTCTGCTTATTTAAGTATTTTATGTTGGAAATGGTGATTTTTAATGACTTTTCTTTAGCTTATACTAGGCATTCTTTACATGTAAAGACAAAAAGTTAGGAACTACTTTTTTAATATTACCGTTAACTTACTGTTTACTTAATGTATTGTTTAACTTAAGAAGAGCTTCTGAGTCACTAAGAGAAATACACACAGACTTCTTTTATGTCATCTCTTGACTATAAATAAATTTAAAAGCTATGTTTAATGCAGAAGCTACCAAAATTAAAATATCTTCCATAGCCTAATAATCATGTAAATAAGTTCTCTTACAAGTAACTTTTGTACATAAAGCACCTCTGACTTGAAAACTATATATTTTTTGGGGGTCTGTTTTCTGAAAAGATTCAGATGATGTCAGTAGAATGTTTTTATTGTTAATTAAGAGTCATGATAAAGATTCTCTTCCGGATAAAATTATATTATTTTCCTTTTTTTTGGTAATTAGGAGGTGCTGCTGGAGGAGGTTATTCTCAGGTAGTTCCAATGGAAGAGTTCAATTTGCATTTGACTGGTGATACTCATGCCGTTACTGCAGCCAATAATTTGCTTGCTGCTCAGATTGATGCTCGAATCTTCCATGAAGCCACAGCAACAGATGATGTAAGCACACTCCTATTTAAAAAATTTATATTTATGTTGTATACTTCATTTTAGAAATATTAATTATAATAAAAGTTACTGTATTATATTTTGTAACTTTTTTTTTAATTCAGTAAATTTTGAGGCATAAAAATAATGCGTAAAAAGATGAAGAATAAAACGTTTTTTGATTCACTTTGAAAAAAAAAAGAAATATTTTTTTATATAATTGTTTAAAAAAATGACTCTTTATTAATTACATGATTAAAGAAGATAAGTGTTGATAGATAAATTATACATATGGTAAACCTTATCCTTTAGATTGTTTATAGAACATATATTCGATCCTTTTAAAGCAATTTGCATTTATATTGTTATATTATCTTGTTAAGAAAGAGGGCAAGAAAAATATTTAGATTCTGATTTGCATAGTATTTGAGTTTGAGCCTACGATCTTGAGGGAAAGTTTTCTTTCTTGCTTTTTAAAACTATCCCGATAAATTTCTGAATCATATTGTTTCATTTGGTAATGCTGAAAGATTATATTAATAAAGCGAATAATGTTCTGTATATTAACCATAAGAATTCATGCTTAGAAATTGTACACCATGTATAGTTAATAAAAGTCTATGTATTGTGTAATTTTTATAAAACAGATTTCTGATTTGAGAATATGGACAAGTTGTTTGTTATCTCCTTTTCTCGTTATGAAGTTTAACTGCATAGCATTTATTTTAATATAATTTCAATCAGGAATAAACTAAAAAGTGGTTAATTTTTTTTACTTTTAGGGTTTGTATAAAAGGCTTGTAAAGATTGTTAATGGAAAAAAAGTTTTTTCACGTATACAGATTGCTAGACTTGAAGTAAGTTTTTTTCCCTTTTTATTATAATTATAGTTAGCTAATAAAACATAGTTTGTCATAATTTCATAGATATGTGATATAGATTCTGTAATCAAAAAATTTACCATTTTCTTTTCTTTTAGAGAATTGGAATTCAGAAAACTGACCCAGATAGTTTAACTCCTGAAGAAATAAAGAAATTCTGTCGTCTTGATATTGATCCTTCTACAGTATCTTGGTATAGAGGTATTGAGAAATTAATTAAACTTTGGAATAAAAAGAGTTATTTTTCAATCATCATATTTAATATTTCTTGTCATTTCTAACTTTTTTTTCCAACTTTATTTAATTTTTAAACATATAAATTTTATTTCTTGAAACCTGTCAAATGGTATGAATAATTTCAGTTGCTGAAAAGATATAAAAGTAAGTTTTTATAATCTGTTTGATCATTTGACTGCATCTTAGCAGACATCGTTAATGTAGAACATTGTTATTATATACAGGGTATCCGCGCACCTAGAAAGTCATAGAAAATCATGAATTTTGGTATTGAATAAAATTTGTCATGAAATGTCATGATTTGAACTATTTTTTAAAAAAAATAATGGAAAGTTATGGATTTCGGTTGCCAAAAAATCTAATTTTGAAAATGAGATCTCCCCCCCCCCTCCAATTTCGTGGTGTCCCAAATATCTGAATTTCTAACAAAATCACCACTGATAGTCATATTTTATTAAAATATAAAATATTTTTATCATGTAAAATTATGGTGTTCTTTCAAAAAATGAGAGAAAAAATATCATTTCTAGAGCAGATTATCTTTTAAACTTCTGTGATTTCAGAAATTAAATTATTATTTTTTTTTTTTTTTATCAATTTAAAATACTAGCTGAAGTAAGCCAGTCATTCGCGAATTTTTTTCATTCCGAAATGAGAACAGAAAAATCAGGAGTATCTTTCCTTTCCAATGAACAAGAAAAGTATCTTTAGAATATAGTTCTGCAGAAAAAAAATATTCTCTTTCTTTACTCTGTTTTTTCTTAAATTTAAAATCTATAAATATGAAGATGCATAATGTAACAATTTGGTTATACCTATCATTTCGATTAATGTTATAATAATGCTTTTTTAAATTTATTGCTGTGTTGTTGTTGGAGAAAATAGTAACTTTGTTAGGTCAAGAAAAATTCTTGGAATTAGTCATGAAAAGTCATGAATTTGAAAATCTAAAATGTAGCAGATACCCTGTATTATTTACCGTCTAGTTTTTGTATCTAAAATAGTGTCCTCTCCAAATAATTTTTTAATCTTAATGTCCAAATTCAATACACTAAGTTCTTAANCAATTTTGAAAATGGGACCCCCCCCTCCCTAATTTCGTGGTATTCCGAATATCTGAATTTCTAACAAAATCCCCACTGACAGTCATATTTTATTAAAATATAAAATGTTTTTATCGTGTTCTTTAAAAATTATGTTTTAAAAATTTTGAAAAGCGAAAGAAAAAATGTCATTTCTAGCGCGGATTATCTTTTAAATTCTGTGATTTCAGAATTTTTATTATTATTTATTTTTTTTATTTTATCAATTTAAAATTCTAGCTGAAGTAAGCCAGTCATTCGAGAATTTTTTTCATTCCGAAATGAGAACAGAAAAATCAGGAGTATCTTTCCTTTCCAATGAACAAGAAAAGTATCTTTAGAATATAGTTCCGCAGAAAAAAAATATTCTCTTTCTTTACTCGGTTTTTTTTTTAAATTTAAAATCTATAAATATGAAAATGCATAATGTAACAATTTGGTTATACCTATCATTTCGATTAATGTTATAATAATGCTTTTTTAAATTTATTGCTGTGTTTTTGTTGGAGAAAATAGTAACTTTGTTAGGTCAAGAAATATTCTTAGAATTAGTCATGAAAAGTCATGAATTTGAAAATCTAAAATGTAGCAGATACCCTGTATTTACCGTCTAGTTTTTGTATCTAAAATAGTGTCCTATCCAAATAATTTTTTAATCTTAATGTCCAAATTCAATGCACTAAGTTGTTAAAACCTTTATTTCTTTTTTTTTTTTTAAATTTTAAATGTAAAATGCAATTTAAAAGTGTGGTACTTTAAGGTTTTGATTAAACTTTTGCGGGTCGCCAATTAAAATATTTTTCTTTTACAAATTTTTTAAAAAATTTCTCCATCGTATTAGAAATTACGATCAATAATAGCTATAAATGTATAGAAATATCTCATTCAAAAGTGTGAGTCCATAGTTTATTAAATGTCTAGAATTAATTAAACTTAGACTTATATTTTTATTTAAACTTATACTGATAATTATTCTAATGATTTACGACAACTAATTTAATGTGAAAAAAAGCTTTTATCATATTTAAATTATGAAATCATGACAGTTATTAGAGAATTTAAGAAGTTTAAGCTGTAGAAGTTTGGAAAAAGCGAGTGCTCTGGCGCGGTCCACAGCATCTGACCAGGGTCAATATTACATACCATTGCTATTAAAAGATAGATCCCTAAAAATGGAGCTAGTTGCTGGGTTATAATTAACTGATGTGAATCAAATTGCAAAAACAATTTTACTCTTCGTTTATAAACTTTTTCTTTTTTTCTTTTCTTTACTCTTGTTTTACAGACCACTTGTCCAAGTGGAACATCAAGTTCTTAAATAAATGATTTAATTAATAATTAATGGTTTAATGTAATTATTAATAAATTTAGTTTTCACTGTAATTATATCTAAAGAATTGCTCAATTAATTGTTAAAACTCAAATCTAAAGAATATTTTGTTTTTAAATGTTACTTTATTTTACAGTTATTGACACAAATGATAGATTTTTAAGGAAAATTCATGTCGGCTTAGCTAAAACTGAAAAAGAAATGTGTAGAGAAGTAAGTCTGAAAGATATTACTGAAATCTAGATTTAGAGGTTTTTTAAAGATTGTATAACACTTACTTAATCTGTTTTATACCATTTCAGACTCGATTTGATATTGCAGTAGCTAGTGAATTAATGGCTATCCTTGCCCTAACCACAGACATGGCTGATATGAAAGAAAAGATATCCAAAATTGTTGTTGCTAATGATAGAAGTGGAAATCCAGTTACTGCTGACGATTTGGTATAGTTTTATCATATTCTAACGTTTACTCTATTGTTACTTTAAACACTTTTTGTGAAAGAATTCTAAATGTAACTATCTAGTCACATAATTTTAAAAATGTAAAAAACTTTTTGTTTTGTTTTAGCATTTATATGTTTATGGAATATATTTATCCAGTAATTAAGTTTTTGCTAATCATATGAGACTGAAGCCTTTCTAGTTAAATGATTGTAGACCTACTTTATTATTTACTTTAAAGCATTTTTTGTGAAAAAATCTAAATTTAATTTTTTACCTGATTACAGGATTTTAAGAAGTAAAAAAAAATTGACTCATTTATATGTTAATGGAATACATTAATTCAATAATTGAATTTTTGTTTTAGTTAGTGCTTGGAAAGTGCTAGTTGGTCTTTTCAGTTAGATAAACATAGACTTACTCTATTAGTATTTACTTTAAAGCATTTTCGTGAAAGAACTTTAAATTTAATTTGTTTACTTGGTCAGAGGATTTTTAAAAGCTTAAAATAATTATAAAGATTTATATGTTTGCATAATACAAGAAAAAATTAATTTTTTATTAATGCAACAAAAAATTGGTTACTTATATAAGTGTGAGACCAAGGTCTTTTCAGTTAACCAAGATTTCATACAGATTTTTGGATTTTTGATTTTTATACGCAACAAGAAATGTAGGAGGGAGGAAAACAGCTTGGTCCAAAAGCAATACTACAAGTCATTAAGTTTGAGTGTAATTCAATTGCACTTAATACCTTTTTTTTTCTATGCATAAGTTATGTTTACAGATCAAAAATTTAAGGGTAAAGAATTGTTTAAACATTTATAAGCTATGTCTCTCAGCTTTAGTGTTTTAAGAAAAATCTAATAAGTTTAATTTATGATTTTTTCTTCTTATTTTTAGGGTGTTTCTGGTGCTTTAGCTGTCTTAATGAAAGATGCCATTAATCCTAATTTAATGCAAACCCTTGAGGTAAATAACTCATATTTTGTAATATTTTTTTCCAAATTTTTGCGAAGTTTCTATTATCTAATTGTTTTTGAATTTCAAATCTTCAAGAGTATGTTTATGATGAACTTGAAGTGTTTTATTGTTGTTGTAATTTTTATTAAAATATTTAGATCAAGGGAAGACTAATGTATATATGCTAAGAAACGTGTAGCAAGGATATTAAAAATATATAAGAAAATATATCGTAAAATATGTTTTGAGGATGTTAAAAAAATATACGCTAAAACTTGTTGTAAGGTTATTCATGGTGCGTAGCATTTTTAAAAAGTGCTTATTTTTGATTTTCGTTTTTTAAAAGCCCTTAAAGGTGTTTTTTTCATTAGGTGTTTTTAAAAAGTGCTTAATTTCTCCTTTTCGAAAATGAGTTTTTTTTCTTTACCATGTCCATTTCCGCCACATATTAGGAAAAAGCCTGCTTTTCACATTGTTCTATTCAACATTTTCACAATTCATTCAACCACAATCCATTTTGGCGTACCATTGGTCCATAGCGTATGAAAGCGCCAATCATTTGTTTGATGAGAACTTGTGAGTCCGCGTGTGCATCTATTGAGCACTTCGGTGAGATTATTGCACTCTCATGTCCAACTCTACTGCAATTTGCAAGATATTCTTAATTTCAGGCTTCATTCCCCACCTTTTGATATCGAACCAAAAAGTGTCTTGATCATTTTATTATGGCTAATAGAATCAAGAAAAGAGTTCTTTCTCAGAAACTAGTTATTTTATCATGATCATGTAAAGTCTTTGAAAATTATTTTACTTTTTGTTAATGTATATAGTGCTTAAAAATGTCTTTTGAGTGCTTAAAAAGTACTTATTTTTTTGTGAAAAGATTTGGCTACTCACCCTGTATTTGAAAAATATAAGAAAATATATACTAAAACATGTTATGAGGACATTAATAAAATGTAAGAAAATAAATGCCAAACTATGTTGTGGAGTATATTAAAAACATAAGAAAATGTGTGCTAAAATGTGTTACAAGGATACTGAAAGAGTATTAGAAAATATAAGCTAAAACATGTTGCAAGGATATAAAAAATGTAAGAAAATTAAAACATTTTGCCAGGGTATTAAAAATTATAAGAGAGTATATGCTAACCACAGCAAATGAAAATAGTCAAGGCACTTTTTGATGTATCAAAACTTTATTTTTTTCATTGTTAATTGAATCTTTAATGAAACTAAAATGTTTATTCTACCACAATTTCACAATGAAAGGTAAAATTCTTCCAGCATATTATTAAGTTTATTAAAACATATAAATTTAATGCTGACAGACAAAACAAAAGTTTGAGATAGATACTACCATTCAACTTTTAATAATGCTGTGTATTTAAATATTGAATGCTGGTGTATTATTTTACTAATTAATGTATTTATTTCACTTTCTCAGGGAGCTCCAGTTTTTGTACACGCTGGTCCATTTGCCAATATTGCTCATGGAAATTCTTCAATAATTGCAGACAAAATAGCATTAAAATTAGTTGGAAAAGATGGGTTTGTAGGTATGTCATTTCAATATTTTTATGCTATTAAAAAAACCTTATTTTATGTGTTATAAATTTGTTATTTTTATAAAGAAATCGAAGATTTTTTAAAAATTTCATTAAAGATGTTATTTTGCAAAATTGTTTTTTGTAAACTATTATTCCAATGCATGTTTTCTAGCATTTAAAATTACTGTACAACACAAATATATTTAAAATCAATGTATTCATTGCATTATTATAAAAATAAAAATTTGTGAAGTGTCATTAGTATTAATAGAAAGGTGATATGATTTATATTCATTGCAATTTGAAATAATATTCTATTTTAAATTTTGCAATTGCTTGAGGTTTAGTTATGCTATTTTATTGCATAAAATAAAAAGATATAGCTCAAACTAATTTACTTTATAAAAAAAAATATTGGAAAAATATTCTGATAAAGAAATTTTTTATTAACATTCTCAATAAAAATGTTTGAGAATAGTAACATTGTCACAATAATAGGTAATCATCTAAAATAATATTTTTACATCAAAATTCATGATCAAATTAATATTTATTGTGCAGATTGTCTTAACAAAAACAGAAAATTCAATATTCAAGTATAATAGTTTTTTTAATTAAATAACTAAGTTTCTATCTAAACAGAGTAATCTAGATGCTTGCTGGCTTTGCTATTGCATTTGCAATGTGATATTTCTCTACAGGTTTTATAGCTATAGCCCATAACCTGCTTGCCAGCTTTACCAATCCAGTCTGTTAGCAGGCTTGCTATGCTAGGTATCTGGACCATCTAACTTTTTTTTAATTACTTTTTAAAACTTATAACCTGAGAAAATCTTAAAAAATAGAAATAAAAAAAGCTTAATACAGTAGAACTTTGATTTATCGTTTCTCAAAAGACCATTCATTGTAAACGATAGATACAGAAAAACAATGAATGTGAGTCAACATAAAATCTCAAATAATGATTTAAAAATAAATGAAAATTAATGAGGCAGTAATGGATTCGAAAATTTCTAATCTTACAATATGTATGAAAAAATTATAATTAAAAAAAAATTATGCACTTAATGTAAAAATATTTATGATGCAAGAGAAAGATGAATAAACATATTTATTTAAAATATTTGGAAATTTTGGTTTCAACACTATCTTTTTTTCTCAGCTCAAACAATACATTTTCAACATTTGTCACAGATTGCTGTTAATTTTTTATAAGTTTGCGAGAATATAGAAAGATCCTCACTATTTTAAAGGTTTTGAGGCCTTCTATAAATTGTTTTAGATTGTGGTTTCACACATTGGTTCTAGTTCTGCTTATATAACTTTGCACTTCTTAACTTGTGCAACCATTTCTTTAATGACAAGCTTCAACATTTTCATCAACTGATACACATCAAATCTAGTGTTCGAGGCATTTTCTCCAAACTGTAACAAATCGTCATATTTTTCCTTTATCACTAACATCAGGAAATATATTTTTTTTTTATATCTTTAAACCAAATAAGTTCAACATTTTTTAAAATTTTGGTAGATTGAAGCAGGTGGCTTCAAAGCGATCTAAATGGAGATTAACATTGAGGTAATAGAATTTGTGACAGCACCATTCGAACAAGATGATACATATGGGAACAATGGATTGAGGTTTAACTGCAATTGATATTCATTGTTTTAATTTTAATTAATAATACAAAATTTGTCTTAACTCACATTCTCTACCCCTCTACATTAATGTTTCTATTGCTGTCTTGTTCTGAGACAAACGATTGTGTGAATTTCAAAATTGTATTGTTTTTATGAGGAACAAGTTAGTGAGAAAATGAATCAAAATACTCAAAATGCTTTACTACAAGAGATGTAAAAAGAATTAAAATGCTTAAAATAGTTTAACTGTGAAGAATGGGCAGTTTTTTTTCTAAAGTTGATGAAGAAAATTTTCTTCTCAATAATGCTTTTGCTGGCTGAGTGTTGGCCCTTGCGATAATGTGGCGTTTATACTAAGTAGTTTAGTGCCGCTCTAGTACTGCCCTTGTGTATGAGACTGANTAGATACAGGATGCAGAAAAATGCATTTATTAATAAATATTTAAAGGTTAACAGCTAACCAGTTATTCAAGAGGTAGTTTTTAAACCTAGTTTTTAAGTTAAGAAGAACTAACCCAACTTCAAATGAAATATTTCCTAATTTTCAGCAATTTCTGATATTTAAGCCATGTTGTTTATGATGTTAGAATTTATTCTGTTAAGTAAATTTGCAGCACTAAAAGTTCCATAAGTAAAACAACAGATAGTAACTTGATAATTGCAGATTATTAGGTGTGACTAATTTTGAAATTTTTTTTTTAAAATTGAAAATTTTCTAAGATATGAAAAATAACGTTATGGGCTGAAAACAATCATAGAAAAATTTAAATATCTTGTATTTAACATATATAATTTTATAGCAAACAGATTTAATATGATTAGAACACTTGGAGAATGCCTATGGCTAAATATTTTAGAGAGCCCTAAATTCTTCTGTTAGTTGAGAAACTAGAATTTGATTCTTTAATCTTAATCTTAATTATTAGATATATCATTAATCTTATAATCAGATATATCATTATAGTTAATCTTAATATGCACTTTGTATAAAATTTAATGAAGTGGGTTTCATAAAATGTAAGATATCAGTTGGCTATCTTTGTTTATAAATATATCTGAATGCTGTAAATTTTTAAAATGTACAAGATGTGAATGTAAAATTTGAATAAAAAATAGTTACAAATAAAGTAAAATTTAAATTATACATATTTTGTTTAGTTATTCGATCAAAACTTTTTAGTATATTTTAAATAGTAAGTACTGATTACTAATTACTATTCAACTTGCTGTGTAATGAACCTAATTTTATTAAACTGCTTGATGAGTAATTCTTTTGTAATATAATATGCTATTCATACTAGCACAATAGTCATGATCATTCAAATGTATTTTGTAAAAAGTTGCTATAAAAAGTTACTGTATGCATTTTATAAAAAAAATTATAGTTATAGATGCTATTTGAAGTCAGACACTTATTAATATGTAGTTTCCGTAAGGAAATTTTTTTTAAAACAAATATTTTCAATAAGAAATTACTGTAATCCGTATGCGAATGAAATAAATGTTTTCTCAACAAATGGTTGAATTGTCAAAATTTGATCAGAAAGCCTAATAGGAAATATTAGAATTCAGTTTAAGGTTACCAAAATTAGAAAAGATTTTTATGAATGTTTAAAGATAGCTAATTATAATGATGATGGTAATAGTTTATCTGCCATGTTACTTAAAAAAATATGTACATTTGGCTTTTTATGATGGTTTTTTCATTGAATATTAAAGATAAAAATTGGTTTAATATGTCAAAAAGCAACCATGTTTTATTTTAAACTTAGCTATTAATAGTTAGAAGGTTAATACGCACAAGTCATACGTTAGCACTTGTAAATGAGTTTTATAAAACAAATATTACAACTTTATTTTCCTGCTGTGGACTTTGGCTTGGCAAACAATATCATTCCAGACTTTCCTATTTTGGCTTTTGACTATTTTTGGTTAGATCTTTGGTGATACAGTCCAACCATTTCTTTTTCAGTCTTCTTCTTGGTCTCGAGTTTAAAGGTTTCCAATTAAAAGTTTTCAAATTACAAATATAAAAGTATAATTTTAATTTTACAATATTATTAATGATTTCAATTAAATATATCTTCATGAACTTAGTTTAATTGCCCTTCATATAATTTTTTAGAACAGACACAGACGCAGAATTATCTCTTTTGAAAACACTTGTGGAAAAAGATGGTGCTAGAAGTGTCATTTGCAAGCATTTCACTGAAGGAAGCAAAGGAGCTAAAGACTTAGCCCAAGCTGTTATAGATGCCTCTCAACAACCTGTTGATTTCAAGTTCCTTTATGACTTGAAGGTTGTTTGTTCTTTGCACTGTTTGATAATATTAACAAGTTTTGCAGGTTGCAGAGATGAGTGAAAGGGCTTAAAACTTCTTATTTTTACCAACTTCTCAAGAAGGAATGAGAGGAAAGAAAGAGTTTTAAATTTCTTTCACATTGCACAAGTTTATTCTAGAAGGGTTGAAGGCTAATGTTGTCCAATTGCAAACAAAATATCATAAGTAAAGTTAAATATGATCCTTTTAGTTGTTTCATGATTGGCAGATTGGCAGCTGAATGACTAAGGCTAACTAGATTGGCCAACCAATATCTTCTTATTTGAACATAATTTATTTTGTAGAATTAAAAGCGTTTAACGTTTCTACAATGATTTTCAAACGGGTGATATTACATAGCTTATATGAAATTAAAGAACAGTAATGATCCATCCTTATTTATAATTTCAAGCAACCACAGCTGCCAACTTGTTTATTGGCATATGTTACAGCAACTAATTTAAGCTTCATACTTCAGCTCAATCACTATTCACCACTCATTTCTATGTTAGTTAAAGCATCTCGCTTTGTTTGATTCCAGTGGGCACCAAAATCATATTGGTAACACTGGTAATTAACATGCGACTATCGCACATCATGACAGATGGCAACATTACACTATTTTATTTTGACATAAATATATCACCTGATTCTGATTTAAAGTCAAGGCTCTAATTGTACTGGAATGGTGAATCATTCACTCCTACTTAAACACCTGAAATGCTTAAGACTGATAATAAGTCCGTTTTCTCGTTCACTGGAAGGGGAGTGTGTGGCAGCAATTATATAATCCTGGTTATAGATGTAAACCCTTTTTTAAGGTAGTCAGAACAACTAACAATGGATTCAGAGGTTATGGATTTCAACGGAATTACAACAGCAAGTAGATATTTTGAATAGTTATTTTATTTTTAGGAAGAGTAATAGAAAGTAAGACATAAGTTAGAGGGCCTGTTATTGCTCGATATTCCCTTCTTGACAAGTACTATTTTCGATCCAGTGATCTACATCACATCTTAAAAATTTGTTCTAACAATAAAAAAAGTCGCTGTCAGTATTATTCAACTGTTTTNAGTGATCTCGAGGCGGGACGCACCGAGAATGATATAATCACGGTCGAATAACACGTTTCTGTCGTTATCCACTAGATAGCTGCAATAGTCTGGTCCCTAGGCGACGTATCCCGTTTTGTCCGACTATCCCGTTTTATCCAACTCTCCCCTACTATTTTAGATCCAGTGATCTACACATCTTAAAAATTTGTGCTAACAATCGAAAAAGTCGCTGTCAATATTATTTAACTGTTTTCTGAAGCTTTTAACAACACTTACTATTTCCTTTAAAAAATACCCTGAAGTGAATGGTATAAATTAAATGCAACATTTGATATCTTTTGGTATTAGAAGTTGCAGGTTAATAATTGATAATCTGTCTCATGAATGTATAAATTAAAAATTATGAAAACAGATAATTTTATTAAAAAATTGTCTAATGGAATTAACATAGACTACACTTATTTCAAATTCATTTTCCAATGATTTCAATTAGAGATTTTTAAAATGAATGCTTTATCTGCCTTCATTTTCGAAGTTTTATAAAATCATATTAAACTGAAATTTCGTATTTTATTAGCTTCCTATCGCTAAAAAAATTGAAATAATCGCCAAAGAAATATATGGAGCCGATGGTGTAGAGTTTGACAAAGTGGCTCAAGAAAAAATGGATCTTTTTGAAAAACAGGTAAGCAAGAATATCTCATATTATATTTAATTTTGCATTAAAAATAGAAATCTTAAACATTATGCAATATTCTAACTAGATTTTACCAATCAGCATGAAATGTGCAATAAGTATATAAGAGTCTTAATGGTTCTGGGCTTGTTCATAATTTTACACTGTAATATTCTTAATAATTCATGCTACTGAATCAGTAAAAATCATTGTTTACAACACACTTCCAACGTAGATTTAGATTTATTTCATGCATTTTCTTATAATACAGTATGGCAGTGTTGTATACAGAAAAAAGATATCTGATCTTATTATAAATACGTTTTGCGTAGATAGTTATACCTCAATAGCACGAACTTTTTGATATTTGCTATTCTGATAATAGAAAAATGAAAGTCTTTTATCAGTCTGAATACTTTTTTTGGTGAACATTGATTTCAGGATATCTTTTTAATTACTTTGTATTATTTTTAAGTTAAATCAATTATTTGTTTATACAGAAGTAAAAAGTAAATAAATTTCTTTAAAAAAGTTATGTAAAGAAGTACCACTGTAGAAAAAAATTCATGAGTCTACAATTAAAAAAAAATGATAAACTTTCGACAGCTATAAGTATACAATATAAATATTTATGTTGAACATTTATAATTCTCTCATAGAATTAGCTGTAAAAACACAATATGCTGTCTTTGTAGAAGTTAAGCACTATTTAATTTCAAATAAAAAAATTGTTAAATCACACTTAAATGATAAACAGAGTAATAAAAATTCACAGGTAAATTAATCTAACCTAATTAACATTTAATTTTATAGGGATTTGGAGGATTACCTGTATGCATGGCTAAAACTCCTTTATCAATATCTCATGATCCAGCGAAGAAAGGTGTACCTACAAATTTTGTCGTACCCATTCAAGATATAAAACTGAGTGCAGGAGCTGGTTTTGTATATCCATTGCTTGGAGCTGTAAGTTGTGATTTAATTAATTTAAAATTTTTTTTTATAAAAACAGTTTTTTATTCCTGACTTAATCGACACTTAAAGTTAATTATTCTTGCAACAACTCATTATAAGCCAGGGGGGGGGGTCATGGATGTGAGGCTCCACAATTTCGTGACCAACATCATGATTGTGGCAATGTAATCTGTGCTGCGCACAGTGCTGCCTTTAACTTCTCAGTTAATTTGGTATCCATCGGTCTAAAGCTGGATGGGATTCAAACAGCCACTGAGGTTCCAACCTTGACAGCTTTTAACTACTGAGCTATTGGGGCTTGAAAATTAAAACCTACTTTACTCAAATTGTGAGAAACACAAAGTTACAATAAAAAAAAAAGTTTTTTTTTCTTCAGAGTGGTAGATCAAGTATTTGTCTTGTCGGGCTTGGCTTAACTTCCTGACAATTGCATTGAATGTTATAAATAAACCACTTTTGATATATTGAATGCAATGTGAGTCCTGTGTTTATTAGGGCTTAACTTCTTGACAATTGCATTGAATGTTATAAATAAAACACTTTTGATATTTTGAATACAATGTGAGTCCTGTGTTTATTAGTATGTTTTTGTTAGCAAATCACAAATAAATAGATAAGTTTTTTGTCACACTTACATTTAGTGTATTATGAACTTTATGGTACCCAATACATAAGTTATTTAATAGTGCTATGTAAATAAATAGGGTCCAATGAAGCTATATATCTGAGTAGCAAGATAGTTAAAAAAATGTCTTGAAATTAAACGTAAACTAGTTTCTTTAATAATTTCTAATAAAAATTTGTAAAATAATTGAAGTTTAAAAATTTATTAAATGTTGAATCTAGTTTTCTGTGTAATTCTTATAAGTAAAGTATTTAGAACATTTTAATGTTTCGAAAATAAATTCACAAAATTTTGAATTCAGAAGTTATACTAGGAATTCATCAGTTAGAAAAACAAGTGTGATAAAGCTACAGTTGATTCTAATTTTCTTTTAATTACAAGTTTCTACTTTAAAAATCACAAATCTCATAGATGCGATGGTATCGTTATGCAAAATTAGTTTATTAAACCTAAGAAATAATAAAATCTTGATCTCTTTTGACTATTGTTATTCATTAAAATAATTAAGTATCAGATACACAGATATGTAGGCACTGTTATAAAAAATTCAATTGAAGTTAACTATTTTTATTTAGGTACTAACCATGCCAGGTCTCACAATTAGACCTTGTTTTTATGATATTGACATTGATCCTGAAACTGGTGACATAGAAGGTCTCTCATAAAGTAAGTACTACTTAATTGAAATATGTTTATGAAGGGTTTATCATGGCTTACTAGATAGGGAAAAAAATTACATTTTAGATTCTTTTTCTAGAAAGACAAACATTTTTAAAATTATTAGAGCACAAATTTTCATACATTTATTAATAATATCATATAGTCTTAAAACATTTTTTTTAATGAAAAATCTTGAACCTTCTTATTAGAATTGTGACTTCCCAATGAAGGTAATTAAGAGAGTGATTTCCAATAATAATTCCTGGCCCCAGAAAAATTATCTAAAATCAGATAATTACAATTGAATTTTATAATTTGTAATAAAAACTAGCTCTTAATAGTTCAATTAGAAAAAAATCTTGGATCAATTGTGAAACATCAGTTATAAAAAATATCCTTGAAAATAAAAACTAAAATGAGATAAATCAGTTGCATAGAAGTTTATAAATTTTCACCTCCAATTTCAAGGACATATTTTTTTAATAACAGCTGTTAAAATTTGAAACTATACTCACAATATGATAAAGAATTATAAGCTTTGTCAATTTCGATATAATGGAATTGAAATTTTGACACACTTGCTTTCTGAATATGCGATAAAAATTGATTTTTTTTAAAAGAAAAGTTTATAGGTTAGTTTCTTAATCAAAAAGCATCAAAATTTTGAAACATGTTAAGTGACATGAAACATGTTAAATTTCAATAATCTAATAAATTTCTGACATTTCTTTCAGCATGGGGCTCTAATGGATTATCTTAAAATTGTTTCTAAATATACCCTCAAGTGCCAAAAGAAACATTCATTAGCATTTGAAAAACTACAGAGAGATATTTTACTATAGATGGATAGATATATTTTTATAATTTTTTTATGAAATAAAACTGTTTGTTATTAACTATTGGATATTGTATCATTCATATCTTTTTGCACATTAATGGTATTCATTCTTTTCAATAAAACAATAAATGGTTTTTGCACAAAATTACTAGTAGATTTTGCATTAAGTAACTTTAAAAAGTAATTATGCATAACAGAAATTTTTGAAGCTGTTAGCTAACTATTACTGCTATCAGTCACTAGAATTAGAACCAATTTTACTGTCTACCAAATCAAAGAATTCGCCCACTGCAGAGTTTGAGGCTGTCTGCTGCTATAAGAACAAAATAAAGTTCATTTTAAGAAGAAAGTTTTTAATACTTTTCTAGCTGACTAAAAGCAAAATCTGTCCTAAATGTTAATTAACCCCACTCACCTTTCCCTCGTAATTTTTAGTCATGGACAGTGCTATACTCTAGACAACTAGATGGAGGGATTTTTTCGTGACAGTTAATTAATGTATGTTGGGATTTAATATAAAAATTAATAGAAAAAAGGAGTGAGATTTTGATTTTCAACTTATTTGTCTAACGAAATAATTTGCTGGACAAGTTCCACATATGACATTTTGGATTTGTTTACAGGTAGTTTAGAGTAAGTTGAATTCAGTTTGACAAATTAAGTTACAAACTTCTTTATGAACATATTTATCATGATAAATAAGGTATTTTGCAAAATTACTGCAAAAATTTCAGTTATTCTAGTTCAATTCACTTGTATCTTGCATTTTAAAAAGATCAACTAACCTGAACAGAAGTAATGGGTTTTCAGAGTTTTAGTCAGCAGCTTTCTCAATTTTGGGGGGAAAAAGGTGTTAGCCAATTTTAATTTTATGTAAATTTTTTAATTACCACTAAATTTTAAAAAATCCCCACTAGAACCTATATAATATTCGGTATATTGTATACAATATTTCCCCCCCTCCATTAGATCGAACTATGGAATTCTATATAAATAAAAGGTGCTTGATATCAAAATGAAAAAGTTCTATCATAGACACAATTGTAAATAAATCTCCAAGTTTCCACTGATTTCTCGAATATCAGTCTTTTCTTACACATGTAATCTTTGAACAAGTAGATAAGCCTTTTGTCGCCCAGTTGGCGATGGTCCCACTGTTAATAGAAGTGCATTTCATTAGCCCACAAGTTGTTATAGTGTGCTGTTAAAATGTGTAAACGGGCTATGCCAAAATATGGATTTTTGGGAAAATGGTGCATGGTAAACAAAATTTGTTATTTTTAGCCCAAAATATGCAAGAAATACACATTTTCATGTCATGAGCTTGCTATTGATCTGAGGTTGCATTTATTCATAACTGAAATAAATCAATAAAAGAAACTATCTCATTATCAGGTGGAAAAATAAGAATAGATTTTTAATTTGAAGATTTCTCAATCTTTGGACAACTGTCATGTCTTTCCATGTTTGTACATCAAATGATATTAAAATATATAGCACTGTACAGTTATAAGTTTGTTACTTATCTTTTGTTGTCATACACCGAAGCTAGTTGCATAAATGAAGAAACAAGTTCATTGATCTGACTGAAATGAATTTATTTATATATCTTATCATAACGATACATCAAGTAACTACAAACTTGTTTCATAATTCAAATAAACATTCACAAATAGAACCCAACAAAAATAAACAAATATTTTTGATGAAACAATTCTCCTCTTAAAACACAATTGACTAATATTTACTAGCTTTCAAAAATATTTGTTTGAGTGGCACAAAGAAAATGTATATGAATGGTTCTTATGTAGTTTTCAGGGGCGTTTTTGAAATCTCATGTAAACAAGCTACATGAAACACCCTTAATGTAAGGTACGCATTATGAGTAGCAGAAATCATAACTACTCTGACTAGATAATACAGGAATCTTATCTCTTATGTGCATCTAATGGCATATGGGATTATGAATTATTAAGATTGAAGCTCAATTTTCAGTTTTAAAAAATAAATAGTAAACAGTTATAAAAGGAAAAACAATTATGTCTAAAAATGATATGCGTTTTGAAGAAACATATAGGGTCAATCAGGGCTAATATGTAATATATTGGAGAGAAAAAATTAAATTAAAAAAAAATGTGGGTGCAGGCTTCTCTTGATAAAAATCAAAATCATTTTAGATTTAAACATAAAATAAAGCAATCCAGTTACAGCTCATTGTTAGTTGAAAGGTCACAGAGACTATGACTCCACAATTTTGTGACCAACAGCATGATTGTGGCAATGAATCATGCCAGACAAGATGTTACCCATCATTGTAAAGTTTGGTGGGCTTTAAGTCAACTGTGAACTGAATCCCTGTCTATCAAAAATGACAGTTCAGTGCCTTTAACCACTGAACTGCAATGAAACTTTAACAATATTCAAGCAGATAAATGATATTTGATGTAAGCCAGTTAAATTTGAAATTTGTTACACACAATAAAAATTTGAACGTAATGTAAGTCAAGGTTTTAATACTTAATCCGTGACTAGACGAAACAAAAACAAGGTTACATAACTTTTATATTTGCCTAGCAAAAGTTAAGCTCTTATTTCATGGTTATCCAGATTCTACTTAAATCCACTAAACTGATTTACTTAATATTAAAAAAACAATAACAAATAAGTAAAATTTTTATTTTAAAACATTATAGAAGTACTGATCAACATTTAAAAAAAAATAATAATTGGGGTAAATTTTGTCTGGAGTGGTAAATAATTTTTACCCCTTAATTTATTATTTAATAAATAAAGCTCATTATCGTAAAGACTTGTCAGACTCTTTTATCATCGTGAGTTCTCAAAATTACTTTGGTAAAATCTTAAAAACTTTTCAAAAACTAAATATTATAGGTAAAAAATATGTATAATCATTGGTAATTATAAGAAAAATTGATGTCACAGATGAAATGTATTTTTTATTGAATTGTAAAAGAGATTTAAAGTTTTGCAACCAAAACAACAATATAGAGTAAATTTGAGACATGCTCTCAGTGCTTGAAATCACTAAAGAAAAATGGTGTCTTTGTTAAGAATTAGCTCTTTTCGTTGAGAATAGTAAGAAAAAGATTGAAAAATTTTTTAAAAAAATATTGTTTTCAGAATAGTCAAAATTTTTAAACTTTTAACAAAATACATGCCTGGACTATATCTTTAGTTTGCTCCATTTCATCATATCAAAATAACAGCCCCCGATTGACCATATTTGTTGTACGACACAAATGTCATACGAAACAGCAGTCATGGTTATAACTATTGCTAAACTTAATTTGAGAATACAGCTTCGGAACAGAAAAACACAGCTATTTTTTTCAACTTTAAAGATTTTCACAGATAAATAAATAATTTATAATTATTTAGAACCATTAATATTTGTATTTCGTTGATATTTTGTAGCTATCCCTATTTTTTTAAATTTCTTTTTTCAAAGATGATATAGATAATTAGAGTTTTACAGTACATAAAGGCAGTATAGTGCCCACCATGTGTTGAAATCACGTTTGTTCTGAGAACATTTAATTTTATAAACCCAAATATTTACACGGAGAAAAAATGTTTCAAATTTAAACATTACAAATACAGTTGAAAGTTAAATGAACTACTACATTTATATTTTATTTTTACAGAATTTCACTTTGTTCTTTTCATTTCTTAGGGCAAAATGGAATTTATATGCTACAAAACTTGAGAAAATTCAAATTATTCAGAAAAGAAAACATAGAGTTTTCTATTTTTAAAACGTATCCCTATCAAAAGCTTGGATTTTAGAAAACACTAATAATGATTTTATTGAAGAATGGTTTGATATTGCAAGATTTTGTTCGTGCCAATTTAAATTTTAAAAAGCGATTGATCTTATAATCCAGTTTTTTTATTGGTTGCAATCAATGTATTTTAATAATAAAATTTCCTCATAGTTTGACTTGAAATTAGATTTATAACTATGAAATCTAAGTTTAGTAATAAATACATTTCTTTAAAATAGTTTAATTTTCGAAGATTTTAATAAAAGAACACAAATTTATGTCTCTTCTTCAAAGGCAACAACTAGCGTTAGTTTTTAAAGAGGTGAAAAATAAAATAGATAATGAATGCTGTTTCATATGCATAATATTGAACTAATTATTGAACTAAAAATGATGAAAATATATACATTACAAATGTTTAACTTTACATAGTTCCAGCTCAAATTAATGTTATTAAATATATGAATATCTACATAATTACATTTTTAACAGTGGAGTGAAATAATACAAACTTCTAACACAGGAAATTTAAACACCAACATTACAACTTTCAACAACAAATGTTAATAAATAAAAGAATCCATTTTCATCCATCGATTTATGTTTACGATATATATATTAATTTATATTTACAAGTCTTTAATAAACTAATTAATTTATATATACAAGATTTAAAGCCTTTGCATTCTGTCTTAGCAAATGATATACAATAGTATACAGTTTATTCCAATCCCACAACACCATCTAGAACATAATATAACAAGACATGATTCATTCAAACTTGCTCAATATTTGAAAAATGCTGGTTTTGAATGCAAAATTAAAAATTATGCACAGTAAATTACATATGCTAGCCTTACTTAACATTTGTAAATTAAAGTTTTCACATTTTTTAAAAGAAAATTAACATACATGGTCGATCTTTAAAAATATCTAATGTTTATAGAGAATTGAAATTTTCAGAATGTTTCATAGTCATTAAACATTCAAAAATTAAGATTATATGGTCCATTTTTCAAAATATATACTGTTCTAGTAAGCTCTGTTTTAATGTGTATACAGAATAATTAATTGAAAATAAAGAAAAAGAGAACGAAATTCAAAATAAGACCAGTAATTCAATACTTTAAATAGCAAAATATGTTTCTTGTAATGATTTTGAACAAATAATATTACTGATGACACTTGTATACAATAGTAAGTCAAAATAATTACACTATTTTTTAAAAAATCATATTAGGAAGTTGATACATTCATAATTTAAAAAATTTGTTTGAAAAAATTCTAATCTATTTTTGTGACAATTGTCAGGTGACTTCAAAATAAAGGACTAGATTGCTCTACATAAACTTTTCTAAAAACCTACCTTTATTTCTGGTAGGATATATTTGCCTTTTCCTTAATTTTTATAAATTTGAGATAAAAGCTTTTTTTTACACAATGTAATATTGACAATCCCTAACTCATTTGAAAAAACTTTTTCTTGTTGGTTTTATACACTTAAAATGACAAAAGTTAATGATTTAAACTTACATTTGAAAGAAAAGGAAGATCTTTTAATAGTATCACAGTTATTAACAAAATATTAATAATTCAAATAAATTTTTTTTAAAAAAGAAGTAGCCTTCCTGTTAGAAGTAACCTGTCATTTCTGATTTTCTTTTGCTTTTACAAGTAAGATGTCATTTGAAAAAGATAAAATGCAGTACATAGGGTAAATTTTATATCTAAGTAATTTAGATACTCAAACACAGAAAAAAATGCTTTTACTCCCAAGGTCCTATGAGTAGATTTATAAAAAAAAATTAGGTGCTTAACTTAAAATCATGTTAAAAGATTGATATTTTTTAAGTGTTCTACAATAACCAAGGATATAATTAAATTTCTTGAAAATATAATACATCCAACACCCAAAATAGATTCAAGAATTGAAATTAAACAATGAGTATCACTGAAAAAATAAATGTATGAAATAAAAAAAAAAAACATTATTTCAGAGAGATAAAATAATGTAGCAAGACTGCTTAATACAGTTTCGTTTTTTTTTTATTAAGTTAAGAGAACCATAATCATCAGGGAGAAATAATCATTTAACCAATAATATAATATTCAGATTTCTTTTTTCTGCCTTGTAAAATATGAAAGTAAATAGTAGGTTTTTTTTTTCTTTCAAGAAAACATTTGAACATACAAATGGTAAATCATTAAGAAGGAAGATGGGGAAAATGATAAGTACGAAATTGTTTTTCCATTCTGCTTGATGAAGTCGATTCAAATTGATTGGAGTTCTTGACAATTGGTTGTGGACGAAAAAGTTTGGCATGAACCAATTTGAATGATATTAAGACGCATTTCTATTTACTGAAATGGAAGATGAAGTTTGGTTTGCTAAGTTGGTTTGAATGGATGACATCTTCACAAATCTGAAAATTAATAATTAGTAAATTGCATTTACCATATGATTTAATCCACACACTTATTTTTTAATAGCATACAAAAATTTTTTTCTCAAATAAGTTTTTTTAATATTAAATTACATTTTAATTTAGCAGACCAAGATCACTTTAGTTAACTTCTTTCAACGGACACTAACTCTACTTTAAAAGTAAAAGCCATTTTAACCTGAGTGTTTGTTAAAATATTTTTGGTGGAATAAGTAAAAACGGTACCTGGTTCAGAAGATCAAGCGCGGAACTTTACAAAGCATATAAAGAACCTGATGTCATTAAATTTATCAAAATTCAAAGCATTAATAGGGCAGGCCACATTTTAAGAATGGAGGATAGCAGGACAACCAAAAAAGTTTTCAGTGCCAGGCCAACAGGTACAAGGAAAAAGAGGACGACCAAACCTAAGATTTTTAGACTGCCTTGAAAAGGACCTACAAGTTTTAAAGATAATAAACTGGAGAACCTTGGCTAAGGGAAGAATGTCTTGGCATAGGCTTATTGAGAAGGCCAAGGCCCATCCTGGGCTGTCGTGTCAATGAGAAGAAGAAGAAGTTTGTTAAAATAACTAAAAATTCCTTTCACCTCTTGTTCTAATGTCAAGAAATCAATTTTGCATCTTTGATATTCAATGAAAGAGAATTTCTATCAAAATTGACCAAATGCTAAACAGCACTCAGACAGTAAAAGAAACATATAAGGAATGATTGAATAACATATAAAAGACCTACACTTTTACTTAGCTTGAAATCAAACAAAGAGTGGGAATTCAAAATTTCACTAAATCATTACACATATGGTTTCATAGTTTTAATAACTAGTAATGGTTTACTGGTTCATCTTATTTAAATAATTTACATTATGAATAAGTTACCTAAAGGAAATAATTTACAGAAAGTAAAAATTTTTCCTTTTTGAAATTTTAAAACTAAAGTGGCTGTAATTAAGTTACACTTACTAATCAATTAAGTGAACTCACTAATGTGCAGGAAGGAAAAACATATTTTATCATTTTACGTATCAACATAGTAGTTAATTTNTATAATAAACTGGAGAACCTTGGCTAAGGGAAGAATGTCTTGGCATAGGCTTATTGAGAAGGCCAAGGCCCATCCTGGGCTGTCGTGTCAATGAGAAGAAGAAGAAGTTTGTTAAAATAACTAAAAATTCCTTTCACCTCTTGTTCTAATGTCAAAAATCAATTTTGCATCTTTGATATTCAATGAAAGAGAACTTTTATCAAATTTGACCAAATGCTAAACAGTACTCAGATAGTAAAAGAAACATATAAGGAATGATTAAATAACATATATAAGACCTACTCTTTTACTTAGTTTGAAAAATAGAAATCAAACAAAGAGTGGGAATTCAAAATTTCACAAAATCATTACACATATGGTTTCATAGTTTTAATAACTAATGGTTTACTGGTTCATCTTTTTTAAATAATTTACATTATGAATAAGTTACCTAAAGGAAATAATTTACAGAAAGTAAAAATTCTTCATTTTTGAAATTTTAAAACTAAAGTGGCTGTAATTAAGTTACACTTACTAATCAATTAAGTGAACTCACTAATGTGCAGGAAGGAAAAACATATTTTATCATTTTACGTATCAACATAGTAGTTAATTACATATATTAGTCTTTGGGTGTCAAAATTTTTTTTTAATAAATATTTTGGTATGATTGGCTTTTTGAATTATTCATCAGTATTAAATTATTCATCAGTATACTTATTGAGATTGTCAAAACCTAAAAAAATTTATAAGGACTTACATACCATAAACATTACCATTAGTCTGATTCAGATTATTATTAAATAATATTATTAGTCTGATTCAGATGATTATTAAACATTATTATTAGTTAGCTTCAGATATACTTTAGCTAAGTAGTAAATTTAATTTCGTATTTACAAAGACAATTCTCAAATAGATTTTATTTCAAACTAAATAATAAATTTTTCATATTATTTACCTTGCTGCATTAACATTTTCTTAAAATAAGCATCTGAGGATAATGGAGATCTTCATGGTAAATACTAGTTTTTGCTTCTTTCAGCTAGAATTGTAAAAATTAGTTAGTTTATGAATAACAAAAAAATTTTAAATTTGAAAAAATTTCATTTTTGGCAAAATTTGAATTAAAAAGTATATAGACTTAATTTCCCAATTATGATTTTTCTAAGTTTACAAATATTAAGATTCCCTCTTCACCTTTAAAAAACCATTAGGATATGCATTACAAATTAATACATTTTTATAAGAAATTTTTAAGTGTGCAACTAACAACAAATACAAATGTTTAATATGTTTATGAACACAATTTTTTTATGAATTCCATAATTTTATCGCAATAAATATATGTATATTTCCATATCAGTATACTGCTCCAAGCTCTGCTTACAAGCTTCAATTTGACTACAAGTGAAAAAAGTATTAAGTTAACATCTTAGGATATAAATGAGATTAAAAGCAAGTAACATTTAGACTGTATTGTATGAAAAAATTACTTGTGCTTAAAACATGAACTAATTAAAATTTACTTTTTATAAATATTGAGATAGAAATGTCAATTTTAGAGATTATAATATTCATATAACATGTATGTTTATTAAATACGTTATTATGTTAGAAGTAGCAAAACATGTATTTTTTAAATATGAAAATATAAAAGATTGTTAATTTGGCGAAACAAATTGCGGTTTGGTGAGCGATTTTTTTAACTAACAAGAAAAATATAGATTCCTCTCAATTCTGAAAATTACTTGAATATAAATTTCGTCTGAATAAATCTTGCATTTTTTCTTTGATTGCATTAATTTCTGTTAGATACGTTGCACAACTAATTAGAATTATATAAAGTCCAGATAATCTAAACAACAAGAGATTATGCAAGAATAAAAAAAAACATAAAATTCAGATTAACATGTTCAACACTTGGTTAAATTTCCCCCTACAGTTTGTGACAATAAAGCTTATTAAGTGGTAGCTAGATATATTATCATCCAACTATTTTTACAGAAAATTTGAAACTAAAATGGTTGCTAAAATAAGAAAGTTTAACTTTGATTTTATCTTCATAGAATACCTATTTTCAATGATAGACATAGTATAACCACCTGCACTCAGCTGGCAAGGAACATGTTAAAACCCCTGCCCAAATTTCTATAACACAAAATCTCTGTGAATAGAATAAAAAATAAGTAAAAAAAGTATTAAAATATACAAAAAGTATATATAACTGCTTACTCGGCAATTGAGATCCCACACATGTGTATCATAGGACATGATTCTCTCTACAATGAAATCTTTTTGTACTAAATCAACAAAGGACTGAAAGGATTTCCCTCGAGTTGGTGCTAAAATAACAGCAACTCCCTAAATAAATAAATAAAATCACAATGAAAAAAAAACCCAGCTAATTGCATCACTATTAGAAAGACCCTACATTTTTGATCATCAGTTATGCAATTGCTGTGAATAAAAAGACGTGCACAAAATAAAGAAATCACAGAAAAATTTAAAAGACATGCAATGTAAAATATAACAAACACAGTGGTCAGAAAAACTACATTACTTTTGTAGACTACAACTACTTTGCTACAAATGAAGTTAAAAATAACTACAACCATTTTTTTAAAAAATGTAGTGACTACAATCTACTTTAGAAATGTAGTAACTACTTCACTACTTTAATGAGACAAACTTTGCTGGAGAACTTAATTTACACCTATGTTTAAAATGATTTTGAATTAGAAATTGGCTTTCATTTATAATGAAATAATTAAGAAATATTTATTGATGTTTATATGAGCCAGTTTGTTATTTCAAAAATTTTTTTTTGAATTTGTTAATTTAACCATTTCTGACAACAAATATTTAATTTAAGAAATGCTAAATTATCAAATAATTGAAATTTTTGAATTGTTTAATGAATAAGTACATTGAAAAAGCTTTTCATTTTTTTGAAATAACATCAACATTTTACAAACGTGGTATCGGTGATTATCTATTTTTCGTAATGGCTAGTTTAAATATTACATATTCATGATTTTAAATAGGGAATTTCTATTAAAGCTAAGCAGCAGCCACGGGGTCATTTTCATTGCATCCACTGATGGGCCTGCAAAGCTTGCACCCATCAAATTTGAAAAATTAGATGTCTTAGAACAGTGTTTCATTTTTAAACTAACGTTAAAAGTAGTTGCTAGGAATTGCTACAAACTACTGTTATATTGTATAGCACTACCCATGACACTACAATCTACTAAAAAAAATAGAGATTAGTAGTTTCATTATTTGTAATATGCTACTTCTGACCACTGAACAAATATTTATGTACAATTATTGCCAAACTTTATAAATTTTTTTTATAAATTACAATAAAATAAAAAAATTTTTTAATGAAAAATGCAATAACAAAACAGCTTAAATTTTTAAATTTTAATGATAGCGATAAAATATTAGATTGAAACAACAAAGGATCATAAATAGGCGGATAAATATACATGATCTTTTTTAGAGTCAAACCTTTTTTCTGTTTGAACTGATTGCTCTAGAATTCAGAGGAATTTTTAGAAGGTGGTGAGTTTTTAGAGGATCCTTCATTGTTGCTTTAGCAACTTTTGTAGCTAATTTAATCTACTTTTGCAACCAAATATAAAAATATGTAGAAAATCAAGGACGTAATGATTTTTTTGTGTGATAAATTAATAATTATCACACAAAACAGAAAAAAAAACTTAAATTTGTGTAACAAACATTGCAATCTAAAATAAATTAACGAAAAACTGATTGAGTTTTTGCGTCTTAAAAACATATTTCTATCAAACATTTTCCCAGTTTGATAGCTAATAACACAAAATCATAAAAAAAAACAAATAAATGAAATGCAGAAAATTTTGAACAAAAATTTAAATTCATGAAGGACTTCACATTCAAATAAAGAACTATAATTTCAATAAGAATTTACATGTTTAATTGAATGAATTTGGTTTTCGTTGTAAACAACAAGTTAACCATTGATAATATAAGCATTATTTATTGTATTTTAAATGCATAATTTTGTAAAACTCAAACGAAATACACGATCTTAGAATTTTCGATTAAATTTGTTACTACCCAGGTATTTACAAATTCAGGGTAATTACTCTAGATTATTCCTGGATATTTTACAAGTCTAATACCAGGAAATTTTATCTAAACTAAAAGTAACTCTTAACACACATTATCTCAGAAGGGATAATTTTTTTCACTAAATTTATAAATGCAATATTTAATATGTAATTCAAATATTAACTATATCAAGAATTAAAATCATACATACATTATTTTTCAGAATTTTCCCAATTGTGGCAGAAAGTGCGGCTCTACCATCATCATAATAGAGACTAAAAAACATTATACAACATAAAACATAAATATATAATTCGAACAGAAAAGTGCTCATTCATGTTTGATTTTTCTCAAAAACTTACCAGTCCGCACAAATTACTACATCAAATCTTGATCTGCAATCTGAATAATCTTCTTCAACATCCCATCTTAGGTGACTACAAGAATATTACTTTTAATAAGTTATATAATACTTTTAACAGCATAGTTACTGATAAACTAAAATGAGTTAAATCAGCAAAATTAATGTTTTAAAACTTTATACAAACTACAATAACAAAATTATTATAAATCCTAAAGCAGCTCTGTTGTTTCTGAGTTTCAAAGAATTAAACTTTTATTGTTTTTGGAAAGATTTCACAATTGATATGGAACTTTTTAATCAGAGGTTTTGTAGATGGAAAATTGATTCAACAAAAATAAATAATAGACTTTTAAATCACCTTGTACACAGATGATGAATAGTTTTAGCAAGGCTTAAAGACTTTATAACAAATGGAAAATCTATAATAAATTGGTTTATGGAACAGCTAATATACAAAAAAATAAATGAATAAAATAATTAAAGCTATAATACAAAAATATTCTCAAAAGATCATATTTTTGGAAAATGTGAATATTCTCATGAGGTTGAAATTTAGAGAATTATTGAAAATATTCCGTTTTCTTATAGATAAAATATCTAAAAAAAGAATCTCTCTCTATATATGTGTAAATGTAGTTCAATTATTATTCTCAAATAGATCACAAATTATGTTTGGGTATGCTCACCATTTAATAAAATATTGGTAGCTTTTATTTTAAGAATTTCCTTTGAATTGTGATTATAACAAATTATTAACTGAACTTGCTTCTTTGTATTTTTTAATAAATCAAAAACATTTAAAATTTCTTAAGATTAAAATTTTCTAAGGTAATTTTTATTTTAGAAAAAACAACATGAAACAATGAAAAAGGAATTTAAACATTTTAAAGCAAAATATTATGCAGTTGAAAATTAAATAATATCTTTGTGTCTGAAAATGAAATTTTATTTTCTCTTGCATGTCGTCTTCATTTATTCTGCAATTAATAGATGAATTTGGTAGGATAATTGCTTAAAATAAATAAAAATTCTAAATTAAGAACAATATTTTAAGAGCATCTTTTATAATCAAATTGTTTGTTAGAATCATTTTTAAAACAAAATTAGACATTCAGAACTATGATTAGAACATTTTATTATTAGAATGTTTTAAGAATATGTTTAAAATTTGTTTTTTTATTTTAATTATTTGAACAACTTCTAATGTATGCTTATTATAATAATTATTGAAATTTATTATGCTTATACTCAACATATTTTTTTAATTTTAGAGATATTAATTCATACACAATAATTATTTGACATTTTTGAGAATAATTTTTGAAAAATGCTTCTCTTCTATATTATTTATTGTATAGCTATTTTAAATGATGAAAAAACTTAAATGAAATATATTAAAATTTTCAAATAATGCAATCAAATTCATTTATTGCTTACATTTATTCTTAATTCAGAAATTAATTGACTTGTAAAACTACTATTAATTACATAAATATTTTTAATAGAATATTCTCCATGATAAGAATATTCCCAAGAATATTTTTGAGATTATTCTCCAGAAGATTATTACATCTTTAAAAAAATGATGAACTTGAATATTAAATCCATACTTTGCATAATTTGTACATTTCGTTTACATCATACGATATATAATTAAGAAGCATTAAAATTAAAATATTTTTATAAATGTAAACCAAATTTCAGCAGTCCAAAGGTTTATTATATCCTTTTTCATAATCAAACAAAACTAAAACTTAGCTTGTTATTTTAATGACTGAACCCATTGCATTAAAATTTTAATATGGTGTCAATTCAAACAAGCGAAAAAAAACTTTTCTTTAGGTGTAATTTAAAATAATTTCAGACTAATAGAATAATGTAAATTGGCTATAAGGACGACAAAACAAATATGGCACTACACTAGAATAAGCATTTACCACTCAGATAGAAGTTTATGAAAAACAAGTTGGGCATTGGTAGCATTTGAACACATGCTGCTTTTTAAAGGATTATCATATTAAACTTTATTACTTTTCACGCTTTGGAGAAAAATTTAAAATTATTCCTTTTTTCTCAGATTTTTTAGTTCATTCCATTTTCTTGATTTTTCAGATAGAATAGCAATTTTACTCTTGCTAGTTTGGCATATAAACATAAAATGCCCTTGTCTTCCTTCAGGTAAAGTAATACATAAATAAGCACAAAATGACAGATTTACTTTAGAATTTATATATTTGCAAAATCCAAATGAGGCATTGTATACTGAACAATGCCAAGTCCATCTCAAAGAGTCATTAAGAAATTGTGAAAATCTTTTCAGTCGTAAAAAGCAGGTTACACTAATAAAAATTAAAGTTTTTTTTTAAGTCGAAAAAAAAATCTGCAAATAATTTCTATATACAGTAGATACAATTTATTGGAAACAACTTCTTAGAATGCATAGTTTAACATAGTAGTTACTTTTATGAATTTGGCAGGTTTTTTATACACAATGCAATACATGAATTTGAGAATATGAATTAGTGCATTACCGGGAAACAACATGTGTTGCTCCAAAGTACTGATGATTTTGTTCAATTATCTGTTGAACATCTGTTAATAATTAAGGATAGAACGAAGAAAATGTTACACAAACTAAATTAACAATTACGGGTTAAATTGATTGTAAGGCAAGGTTAAAATAGTTTTAACAATAAAATTTATTTCAAATTTTTAAAGGATAAATACACACTTACTATACATTTTGATTTTATTAAATAACTTTGTTTTTATGCAAAATGTCCTTAGTGGTAGACAGATCATGGGTTAGAGCCCCCTTGCTGTCAGTCTAACCTTTCAAATGTTATGGAAATGCGGTTTAGTTCCATTGAAGAATCCTCCACAATGGCAAGTTTCTCTCAATATTTGATCGAGGAGTTCCCCTGTCTTCTGGATTGGGTTCAAAATTGGAAGGATATGGAGTTGAACATAGTACCCGAAATTGGGTTGGCTGTACAACGATGGTTATAAAATAAAATGTTTTTGTTTAATTATATTGGATTTTTGCTTAGTACATAAGAGTTGCTTATTTTGGTTGCTTCTTCACTCTTTGATTGCTGCTTTCACCAAATAAAATATAAAATTAAAAAAGGTTTCTATTAACATTTTCCATTATTATTAAAATTATAAACAATTGAGTTATTAAAAAAATGTATGTCATACATTGGCTTAACTGTGTTCATTTATTTTTACTGATTTTTCAGTTTTTTTAAAGTTATTTTCTAGTTACTTTTATGATAAGTATAATACTGATAAGCATTTTATTGCTAAATAAAAGATTACATAAAAAAATTAAACACATCAAAAGATAAGAATTTAATGATTCATATTATAATATTTGTTTATAATTTATTTATAATTTATATATATTGAATATATATAAATTATTTCACTTAAAATGAATAAAACTGATACATACATATTATACTAAATGAATAAAACTGATACATACATAAATATGATACATACATAAAAATATTAAAACAGACCATAAAAGTATTTCGGAACTCAAAATGTTTCCAAATATCTCCAGACAAAATAACTTTAAAAACAGCAAGATAAAAATATTTCTGCATTTAAGAAGTTTTAAAACTCCTCCAAAGAAAAAAGCTTTTACTAGTAAAACTTGTATATAAATATATAAATTTTTTTCAACATGTCTGCAAAGAAGATTTCAACCTTTGTCATAATGGTTCTTAAGTTTCCCAATCCTTTCTTAAAAATCTTATCGCTTTTTAAGTAATCTGAAAATGTCTAACACTGTTTTGAAATTTTTATTGATATTGATGCAATAATTGATTAACCTGTCAGGTAGTTATGAGATATGAACTTAAACACTGTCTTAAAGTTACGTAGACAAAGGGTTTCAGTTTAAATAATGTTTAAGACAACTTCAAGGGGTATCATCTTCAAAGAATTGATGATTGGGGATTTGAAATAGCATGTTTATTGCTAAGACAAATGCATAAAACTTCAGGTTGTTAATGTCAAAAAATGTTAATGTTACTTTATAACTTAGGTAACAAATTTATTTTATTCTTTACTCTTCTTTTTGAAAAAAGTTGCAGTCGGAACATAAGTCAATATTTCCTTCATTTTCAAATTATCAAAAATGTTTAATAATATACATTCAATCAAATACAATATTACAAAATTCTTAAAAGTTCAAGGATACTTTCAACACATTTTATGTTTCCATCTGTCACAAACACTTCAGTTGCACCAGCAGTAGCTGCAACCTAAGGATTTACAAAAAATAATAAACATTAGTACATGAGACATACTATTGAAAAATGAGATTATAATAGAGGAATATGAAAAATAAATAATGAAAAAAAATTAATTCTTTTTCTTCAGATGGTATATTAAAAAGTTTTTATGCTTTTAACAGATAAAATAGATAGTTTAGTTTTAAATTTTCACTGAGCAAACTGCAAGAATATTAAAGATAGACTACACTAGGTTTTCAAGGAAATCTGATAGTTAAATTGCCTAGTTACACATAAACACAACTAGTAAATTATTTTAGTTCCCATTCAACTAATCTTTAAAGCTTATCAACTTAGTATTACCATGGTTTTAGGCAGCGGTGATGAGGTTGCAGAGAGTTAATTTATAATTTCTACTTGATGTAATGAAATAATAAAACAATCATAGAAAAAATTAAACAAAAAATATATATCTAAAGAAATTTGTAATGAGTAAGTAAATTTTGTATTAACACTAATACAGATGCATATTTTTATCACTCTAAGAAGATAATTATAATCTGATTTTATAAGGTATTTAAATATTTTTTCTAATCATTTGAGGAAAATGTCTCCAATAGGATGATTCATTTTTTAAACTTTTTCTTTCAGAGTAAGAGATAATGTATTGCATAAGTGGCCAATCCACATGGACTTGACATATATAATTTAAATCAAATAGCAAGTATCTGTAAGAAGTATGGCCTAAAAATTTTGATTTAAAACTTATAAATTTTTATGAATTTCATTTAGGTTAAAATGGTCTTATAATTGTGTTAGGAAATACTCTTCGTGCTAAAAACTTACGTTTAGTCCATAAAATACATACAAGTAAAATATCCTTAAGGGGACAGAGATGCCTTACAGGACACAAGGGGTCAGAGAAGAAGTTGAAATAGAGTACAAATTTGGTGAGGATCCAAAATCTTTTTAGTTCACTTGACAGTGATGCTAGCCAAGCAATTCAGAGCCTGCTATGTGTAGGTTGCAGCACTTAGGACTGTTCCTAACCAAACGAATTAGAATGAATCCCAACCAACCACAAAAAGGACACATTTCATCCCTAAATCCCGGATATGGCAACTAGTTTAATTCATTATTTTTTTGACAAAATTGTCACAAAAAGGGAGTTTGGTTGAAACTAAGGTAAAGTTTGCCAAAAAAGTTACGTGAGCTTCTAATGCCACCTCTAGGTCATACTTGTCTAGTGTAAGTGGTTTTAAGGACTTTTTAGGACAGCGGGAACTCTGTAAAAAGATAAACCTTCAGTTGAAATTTATATTTTTACAGAATTTACATGAAATATTTTTATTTTAAATTTTTAGATGTACAACAACTGAATAAAAGCTTAATTTTGAAACAATCTCAAATAACAAAAATATAATAATATATAATGAATTAATGTCAAATAAATTTTAAACCAGAAATTAAGATTTAAACGATAGGTTCAATACAGAAAAAATATTACCGCTAAACCGCTGAGGGAAGTCATGCCACCGCCTAATTCACACACGCTTTTCCCCCTAGAATAAAAACAAATGCAACTGAATTGTGTGATCTAAATATTAATAAATGAATAATTCAGCATGCAGCGGCAAAGTATATAAAATTATAATAGAAAAAATTAAGATATTTGCTTAAAACATGTTAGCTATTATTTGTTTTACTATTGTTGTATTACAGTATATATTTATATATTATATGTTGTATTACAGTTAAACTTTACAATTATTCCTACAAACATATAAGTAAAACAATTAGTATTATAACAATGACAGTTAGTAATATATAACATGAACAGGATGGACGGAACTGCAAGGGTGGAACAGTACTGCATGGATTTTTCTTTAAAATTTTATGTCTCTTCAATTCATATTTAAAATAATCTTAAAGTTTTTGTCTACAAAAAAAATAGCATAACTTGAATGTGAAAACCTATTGTTACACAAAATAAAATTTAATTCAAAAATAGGTTTCTAAATTAGAAAAGAAAAAATGGCTGCTGATATTAACTTAGGTGGAGTAACCTTGATCAGAACTATCTATTAAATAAGTCAATTACTTTTATAATTTATGAACAATATTCATAAATGGAAACACCTAAAGTAATATTTTTAGACAGATAAAATTGCTAATGTAAATAAAATTTAAAAAAATTTTACCCAAATAATTCTTTGTTTTTCATACAATAATAAGTCAATACTTCTTCAGAAGGCCAGACACCTAAAAAGAGAGATGTTATAAATTAGTAAGAGAAAATAGTATCATAATTAGTAGTATAAATAAATTATAAAACTACAATAAATTTTTTTAACTGTGTGTTAAACCCCACGAACAGAGATATAGAAGGGGGAAGATAAATGAACAGAGATATAGAAGGTATAAAACTTTTATGTTCCTCTACTATATTTGTAATCCTTTATTTAAAAAAAATCTCATAGTTCCAAAAAGTTTAGTCTTTATAAACTTAGTTAATTTAAATTGAATGAAAAAGCGAGCAACTATTTAATTCAAATACCTGTTTTACATTAAATTGTGCATTACATTATATTTACATTACATTAAAAGTTGAGTACAAGGAGAGTAAAAAAAGCTCAAATTGGGAAGTTACATACAGACAGCTATTTTAGCACTAAAAATAAGCTTATTTGTGCAGAGTGGATGTTTGGAGAAAGGTTTGCCGGTTCTGATGCTATCTACAATCAAAATAATGATATTATGGTTTTAAAAGATCGAGGCCAGAAAAAAAGGGTATAAGTGCGTAATCATGGCAGGATGGTGTGCTATTTTAAAAAGCATACAGAATTTAAAAGGCTGTTAACAAGTATGTTGAGAAACATATGATAAATAACACATCCTGTACCTTTTTAAAGATATTTCTTCCCTCTGTTCTTGGTTCTTTAAAAGTAACTGTCAGATTTTTCATTAGATTTATGAATCCATATAAACAGTAAATACCATGTTCATAGCTGCATAAAAATTCCATAATAAAGTTATAGAATTTTTATGCAGCTATGAACTTACATAAATTTCAAGCTATTTCTTAAATTCTGAAGTTAGGTCATATGTCTTTCAAATTGGCTGACATTATTTGTCAATCAATAAAATAAAATAACAATCAAAATAGTTGTAGTCAATAATATTGTAGTCAATAAGAGTCTATCATAAAAGTTAATTAGGCATTTTAATAAATTTTAACATCAAAACAGGGTAAAATCTGCTTTTTTCAAATAAATGTAATTTTAAACGCTGAATATAAATTTAAATATAATTAAATATCAAATAACTAACTCAATTAATTCAGATTTGGTTTCTAGATAAAAATTAGTTGCATGAAATAAAAAATTGATAGAAATGTCCAAATACAGTATAACCTTGAAAATCCGGAAAGCTCAAAAAATCAAAAAATTTATTTTTAACTCGCAACAAGCTAAATTAATTTTAAATGGTAGGCAAGATGCTACAATTCATATGGCGTAATATTAAAAAAATCAATCCTAAAAATTGCATGGGAGTTCATAGCAGTTACTGAAAAAGCAATCAATCAAACCTCATGGATTTACGATGAAATTGTCACTATTGGAATGCTGTGTTTCAAAGTAGTTGCAGAAATGCGCGATTTAAAATTCACTCGTGGAAAAATTTGGTATTAAAATATCGAGATTCTAAAAAAAAAAAAACCCAAATAGATGTGGGTAAAGTAATTGCAGAAAAACAAGCAAAAATCCACTTGTAATGAAAACAATAGCGTTAACAATGGTATCAAATGTATCATTTATTATAAAATTTTGAACCTGTAAATTCAACTTCCTCTTTTTGCTCAAATAATATCTAAAATCCAGAATTTGAAAAACTTTGACCTACTAAACTTGGTAGCAGTCTGGATTTTTGAGGTTATACATTATTATCAACATTATTTTCGATATGCAAAATTACTTACACACATTTCCGGTATTATCAAACCCTTTTAATTCTTCAGATGATATTCTTCCAGATACTAACCTATAGAGAAAAAAAAATCATAATTACCAAACAATAAATTAAATTATTTCCGATATAAAAAATAAAGAAAAACAAATGCGTACTTTATTTTTAATTTCAATCTTGGTTCTTCTAAGCAAGAGCACATATACCACTTGTCTCTAGCGTTATCATTAGCAGTCTCTTCAGTTGTTTGCATATGGATGAGGCCAAATGTTGTAAATTGCCTAACAGAACAAGGGAAGAGGACTGAATCCTGAACTTTTCCTTCCTGTAGTGCCTGTATTAAGATAAATAAGATTAATAGTTTATATGAAAATAATAAAACAATATAAATAAGAAAACTACAAAATTATTTTACAGACTTCAAATAGTAATTAAGTAATAAAAACAAAACTATCGACCACACAGGCACGTGTGGATGCCGGGAACCTTGATTAGATACCCCTGAAAAGAGTACATTTACGTATAATCTGAAAGGGGCCACAAAATTTTTTAAATAAAAAAGAAAAAATATGAGAATGATATATATTCTTAAGAGTCTAAATCTATAATTTAAATTTTTCTTTACGTCAGTGAATGTGGAAATTATTCTTTTGCAAAAATTTCTTATTTTAACAGAAAATTCTTAAATATGCAAATTTTAATTTAAACACGAGAATTAAATTAGTTTGCCTAATAAAGAGCTTAATTTTTTAATAAAATAATGCTTATCATCTTGTAACAGATTTAAAGATTTGTGTGCTTAATCATTGACTGGAGGATATGGCCATTGCCCCTTCATTGCATGCTACTGGTCAGTACTCTAAACATTCATCTTAAGGTATTGTACAACTATAGCCATGGATAATTCTTGACCAAAGATTTTTGGAGACAGCCTTGGCCTGCAACAAGCTGTAGAGCAGCAGAAGGAGATTTTGTTTCTAATGTGACTTTTTTGGTCTAGACCAATACTTAATTAATTAGAAAAAATTATGAATGAAATTTAAATTGAAGGCAAAATCAGATTTTTGTTTGATTCTTAATGAATTATTTTTTTTTAATAAATGAAAGTTTTTTTATAGTAAGGGTTTTAATCTTGGTTCTTCTAAGCAAGAGCATATATACCACTTGTCTCTAGCATTAAAGCATAAAAAAGCAAAAAAAAAATTTTTTTTTCTTCAAAAAAATTTGCGAATTTCAAATTTACTGTCACATTATCGGAGCTGTGACTGAAATTCATTAATATGAATCTAGAAATGTACTTCAAGCATCAGATTTGAGTTTCACTGCACAAAATTTTACTGTCAGTGAAAATACTCATCAAATTTTTGTTATCAATGATAGTTTCTTTTTCAGCCATTGGACAATGATGATTTCTTAGAAAAACCAGTCAATGAGAGTAGATACAGAGATAATCCTTTTCATGTATTCCAAATGTATTGCTCTAACACTCCCATAAGCTACTCCAACTGCTTTTGAAAGTGATTCTGTAACTCAAAAATAATAATAGAATAAATCTAAAAAGCTATCTATGGAGCAATTCGATGACTTCTCTTGATATTTATGCCACTAATGAAGGCGTCAATTGTGAGATAAGTTTCAAATGTGCTGTTAAATGGAAGAAAACATAAAAAAGTACATAAATTTTAAATTACTAATATTTTTTTTAAAAATAAATAATGTGGAATGCTGTTTTCTTGGTTAAACATTAAAACAGTAGTTCTACTTTATTTACTTTGGACAATTTATCTGTTAGTTATAATAATATAAACTGTGTTTTAAAATGGCTATAATTTACAAAGGTGATCTATGTTTTAAAATTTTATCTTCCTATTTTAAAATTCATTTCTCAAAATGAGAGAGATGAGTGAGATTAATCTCCAAAAACTTTTCTTCAGATAATACTGGTTGTGTTAGAAATAAATATTCTGCTTTACTAAATAATGCATACAATTATCTCATTACTAATTTTTTCTCACCAATTAATATTGACAATTATTTTACATTATTTAAGGTAATGGACAGGGAAGATCTGAGTACAAGGAGAATTGCGTGAAGAAATGTTTCAAAGAAGGCCGAGGCCCACCAATTGTTTTAATTGTGAGTGCTATTGTGTTAAAGATGATAAATGACTCTTTTATTATAATTATATCTGGAGAGTATTAAGGAATTTGAAGGGAACAACTTTAATAATAAGAGCAAACCTTTAAAAATAGAGGATAGATATCCATATCGGTACCTATTGAAAAATAATCATCAAGTTTTCCAGCTTGGCATGTGAGAAACTAAAAAAAAATATTACAGAAGGGGACTAGTAGTCACCCACAGGCAAGCCTCAGGATATTATTTTAAAAATTACATTTTGCAAATTGTTTTTTGGTTCCTCGTCTATTGAATTTGGTGCGAACATGTACCGATACAGAAGTAATGCGATGAGGAAGCAGAAATGATAATTAATGGTCAATCCTGACTTTTGTTTTTAAGCTAGCAAGAGGCTAACTTTTTTCAAGCTACTGTGATGCTACAGACTAACTGAATTGCCCTTAACAAAATATTTTTAAAGATAAAAAGTACTGCAATCATTCGCATCAAATTATAGAGTTCATTTATCAACATAATTATTTGTAAACGCAAGTTTTATTAATGGTAATTACAACTTTCCATTAAAGCAAAAGAAGAAAAAGCACAAGTGTCAACAAATTATATTTGTAAATAAATTACAATACTTCTGATAATAATTATTTAAGACAAATTAATATTTAAAGTTATTGAATAAGTACATTGTTGAGGATTTGAAAGAGCAGCAAAAAATATTTCAACAGGTTAAAATAGGAAATTAGTAAATAACACATAAGTCCGATGGACATAAATAAACAATACAAGAATGATCCAAGTATCAAAGTTTTTACCCTTGCAAGCATCTTCCATCTCATTTTTGCAATTGATAAATTTGATTGCTGATTATTTTCAATAATATTAAGTTGTGCATTCCTGATATCAACAGCCATTCTTGTTTACCTATTAATCTCCATTGCTCCAACAAAATAGAATACAGACAACTTGCAAAAAACGAAACTACAGAGCAGCGCATGAGTGAAATTTCGGGAGCTGAAATGACGTCAATAAATTCAATTTCGATAACGATTAAATGTCTCGTTTAAAAATAATCGCACGTGTAGTCAATTTGAGATTTTAAGAAAGTTTAAACTCAACTTTGGCAATAACCTTAAGAAACTCTGGAAGTTGAAGTTAATAATTTTTAGAACGAAATTTAAACATGTTACGGTTTTGGTTTTGCTATTAAGAAATTTGCGTTATGCAAAATTGTGTAACATTTTGTTTCTAAATAATGTATTTACTATATGATCTGTGAAGTCACTTTGTTGTGAAAAATTTGAATAAGTGACATCGAAAATAAATAGTAATTATTTTATACTTCATATTTTTTACCTATTTTATTCAAAACAATTTTGACTTGAAAATGTTTTATTCCTGGTTCTTTTGTAAATATTTATCTACTTTATATTCACTTGGTGACAAAAATTTTGTAATTCAATTAAAATAATGAATGCATTTTATTTTGCAATGCATTAATATGGGTGGTATGCTTATAATGTTTCGTTTCTCTGTTTATATGTATGCAGTGTTAACAACTTTTTTATAATGTAGGACCCAAACTGGTGCCAGCAGACTTGTTGCTATATCATGTTAGAGTTAAAAATAGCCATATTAAGCATAAACCATAAATAGGTACTAAGTTGTTCCAAGTATTGTAGGATGTATGCTAGCTTTTGTTTCGCTTAAAGACCTATTATCCGTAAAAACTATTTTCCTCATTTAGTATTAGTATTTATGTGCTCATATCAATCTTTATTTGTTTTTGCTGTTGCTTATCCCCAGACCCGTATAATATATATGAACGCTGTTGGCGGAAAATTTTTCATCATTACGGAAAGTTTTTATAACTGAAAATGAAGGAATCCTCCTCCTTTTCAGTGAATGTTTGTCTTTTTCAAATTCCTGAAATTTTTTTTATTTTTATACTTCTTCCTGCCTATGCAAACGTGATTTAATATTCACATGATTTAATATCACACATCACAATTCCAATTTTGTGATTTAATATTATGTTTTGCATTCCCGTAGCTTAAAAGCCAACAATTATGATTCATGTTCAAATGACTTAATTATACAACGAAATTCATATTCATGCAATTTTGAAATGAAACATCAAGATTCATATTCACACGATGTTTAAAATCAATCATTGAGATTCATATTGACAAAATTTTAAAGTCAAACACTGAGATTCTTATCAACATGATTTTAAAATTAAACATTGAGACTTGTATTTACGGGATTTTAAAATTAAATTTCGAGATTTGTATTCGTGTTGTTTAAAAATCGTACAGTGAGATTCATATTCACAATATTTACATAAAATCTTGCATCACTATTTCTATTAAAACATTGATAACATTTTGTGGATAAATGTTTCTTACGTAGACTTTTTTCTTGTTTAAATTTCTGATATTGTTTCAATTATTCAAGAAGTATTTTTGCACATGACATTTTTGGATTTTTATTTTCAACTACTTTATTTATTTTTTTATCAAACTCATCCTTGTGGTATGAATCAGTACATAGAGTTCTATAAAAATAAAAAAATCCTTGATTTTTCAAACAAATTTGCCGAAATGAGGTGGCAACAAAAGGGTTGACACTAGTTAGAAGAGTTAATCAAAGCATGCAAAAAGTTTTTTAATTGGGATTTTGTGTGTTGGCAGAAAGTTTTTCATTTTATCTCAGTCTGTTTATGTATCTGTTAAACTTGTATTGATCACAGTTGTTTATTACTACTATATTTTAGATTCAGTAAAGATGAAGAAATCTTCCTTACATTCTTTAAAGGCTTATATGTCAGATGAATCTAATTCTTCAGATAATCAAAGAACGGATGAGAGGTATATAAAAGTGTGAATTATATTTTATTATTGGAAAGTTGATGAGGCTTTACTTTTAAAAAATGCTGTGTGCTAATTCTTTGCTTTAAAAATACAGTGAAACTTCACAATACAAATACTCTTACAAAACAGACCCCTCTCATTATGGACATTTTTTTCATTTCCTGTGAATCATCTATAAACCATTATGTATCCTCTTTCCAAAGCAGACACTACTTTTACCGGATTTAGAAATCAATTTTTGCCCTTAAATCAAACAAAATTTTTTCTAAAATTGAAAATAAAGCTAATTCTACTTAACATTCTAAAAATATGCACCTTTCCTCCATTTCTTAAAAAATTAAATTTTTTCCCCCTATCTATAATTAAAAATGCTAGCTATTTCACCATTAAAAATACTCCTTCTCCTATAATTTTCCTTTATCTTTGCAAGGAAAGTAAAAAGAAATTATATTGTTTTTGTGTATTTAATTGATAATTTCTAAAATGACCAAAAGAGAAAACTTAATACTCAAATTTGTATTAAGGAACTAAAATATTTTTTTCCATCCAATAAGAATTAAATTTGTGTAAAAATGCTAAACGATTTTAAAATGTACCATGAATATATGGCAAATGACAGCTGCTAAACACAAATTTCTATCACATCTTTCTTTTTAACTGAATATAAAACAAAGGCATTTATATAAATTGAATTTCTTTATCTATTCTTTTTGTACTCTAAATTTTATAATTTTGTTAACATAAAATAATTATCAATGTAAATAGTTATTAATTATTCTTTAATAATTTCTATATCCTTGCAATTCTTTTAAAAACAATTTATGGCATTAGCCTTTCTTTTAAGTGTACATTTCCCTTTAACGAAAATTTTTTTTTGGTCCTAAAGCTGTCCGCTTAACCAAGGTATGTTAATTTTTAAAAAAAACTTATTTTTGTAATAATTTAATTAGAACTTGATAATTATTAACTGTATAATTTATTTAGTACTTGAATACTTGTTTTTATTATATAGAAGAGCAGGCATACTTTCAACTATTTTTAGATTTTTTATTACCTAATCAACTCTGTATGTATCAAATTTCTCTGTTTTCTTAACCTTTATGAGTTAAGCAAACTTTATGTAGATTTACAGCATCGTAGATTGAGAGAACTTCAAAAACTTTTATCTCAAAGCTGCATTTTTAAAATGGGGCTAAAAATATTTGCAAAGACTATGAGACTAGTTGCTTTTTATTTAAAAAAGAGAAAATTCTTGAAATGAAAAATTTTTAGACAGTCACCTTTATAGCAAATCTTAACTTTTTAACAGTTTTGTATTTTTGGAAAAATTGCTATTTCACTTTACAAGAATTAGTTTTGGTTAAGTCTTTAACATTTTTTATTAAGATCATTTCATTTCAAAGTTTTGTTGTATTTGTGCGAAAATGTGTTTAATAGACCCATTGGTGCATAAAACATGTAGGTTCAATTGATTTTTGTCATACACATAGAGTATGAGACAAATAATTTGATTTTTTTTCCAATCCAAAGATTGCAGATACCATCTTGGTTTGGCATTCTTCTATTTTTTATTATATTTTTTTGATAGGAACAAAAATAATGACTCATATGGTGAACAAGCACAAGATCTTGACGAGAGTATACCTACCGCTGATGAAAAAGGCATTCATTCCTCCTCCCAGAACACCACAATAAACACTAGAAAAAAGAAATATAGAGAGAGGAAATCAAAACAAAAACACTTAGGAGGAAATTCTAAAAAGAAGCACAGAAAAAACATTTCCACGGCAAAATGTTATGTGACTAAAGAGTAAGTAAAATTTAGTTTCTTTCTATCAAAAATGAAATTTGCTATTTTTACTGGTCTCTTATGTTTGAGATACCTAGCTGATCTGTCTTCTTAGTCAAATTTTATTTTTATTTTATGATTCAAAATTACAGAGCTTAAAATTATGTAGACATGTATAAACTATGTATATCTTAAAATTCTAGAAATGTTTTGTTATTCAATTATGTAATAAAGAATAATATATAATTATGTATAATTATTTTTCATGGTATTTTTAAAATAAATAAATTTTATAATTGTACGAAGCATTTTTAATTTGTTTTAATTATTCAGAGCCTTAATAACTTTAACTAAAAATAGTATTAAGGAGGTCTAACTTTTTGTCATTCTTCAACCTGGACAATTAGTACCATAATTTTGCAAATTGAAGCTACCATCATCTTTCAAATGCAAATCCTTTGAAAATAGGTATGATTGTCGATTCTTTTAAAGTGATATTTTTTGTCTGATTTCATATATTGTTTACATTAACTGCTTGACGGGTATATCCTGCGACAAAATTGAGATAACAATTTAATTTATAAAAAATCTATCATGATATTAAAAATTATTCACGAATTTCATTTTCTTTCTTGCCTATTTGAGTATTTGTTGTGCTTTATTTGAGTACTAATGATGTATTAATTTGATTGTGGCAGGTATGGCCCTTACAAGATTAAATGTTCAAGGTAAACTTGAAAGGCATAGGCTATATGACGTCATAAACATGACATGTTTGTGAGCATTGATATGTGTGCTCATGTTCTGATTCATGAGTTGATTATTAATCTCTCATTAATAGAATTTATTTCAATTTGCCTATTTTGATATAGTAGAAAAATGTTGAGTGTATGATTTTAAATATTTCATTTTGTCAAGAACCATTTGTTTGAATTTATCCCAATCATTTATTGCATCATAGTTTTTATGCTGAGTTTGAACGTCTTTGTAAAATGTCAAGAGATAAATAAAGCAACTCATAATCCAGGAAATGCAGTATGAAAATTAAGCAATCACCAAAGTAAAAACTAGGATTATTTCATTTTCTTCAGAATTATTTGTTTGTCCTTATTATATAGATAGCAATTTTTTTGTTGTATCATAGTTTTATTCTCATTTTTAAAGCCTGTTTAAAGTGTCAAGAGTTAAACAAATAAATTTATAATCCAGAATATGTAGTAATGTTCACTAAACTAAAAGTCAGCGCTACATTTTATTTATCGAAATATTTTTTCTTGCACGGTTTATTTTAAATATTAAAGTTTACTTATTTTTGTAGCAATATTTTCTTTTTTATTGAAACATGTAAAAAACTTGTAAAAGACTTTTTCCATTCAGTACAAATGAAAAACAATCTTAGTAAAGACCTAGTAGTAGATACTTGAATTTGTTAAATATATGATATATTGCTAGCTTTTAAGCAAAATAATTTTTTATTCTATAATTCTTTAACTGAAACAGCGTTGTGAATGAGCCTTTTATGGTCACAATGTCTAGTGCAAAGGCACCATAACCTGACATTTCTTTACTAGTAAAGCAAACAAAAAACTTTATAAACTGATATGAATACACAAGTGGGCGACCTTTGTGCTAAAATACGAACTAAGGTAGACAACATAACAATGACCTCTGATATGGTCGGATTATAGCCCAAGAGGAAGAAATAGGTGGTTTTTCGAATTTCTTTTTCAAAATAGAACTCTCCAAGTTCTTTTTCAAAAAAAGAGTGCACTTCAGATTAGGTTAATTACAGTTAAGTAATTATTTTTAAATTTCTACCCAATATTTCTTATTTGGGAATGGGCCATAAATAAATATTCTTGATACCTTTTTGGAAGTAGGGCAAATCTGCTTCAGTATGAAAGGAGATTATCGTTTTAAATAATACATTATGCAAACAATAAGTTAAGCAAATCTGCCTCAATATGAAAGGGAGGTTACTGGTGAGTTACGTAAAATGGGTTTAAGATTTATATTTACCTTTTAGATTTTGAAATTTGTTTCAATGGTTATTGTAATTATTTCATTGATAATTTTTATAACTTGTGTTCATGATTTTTATCTCAGGGAGCAGACTAATTGTGCATCTGATGGTTCACTTGTAATGAAGAATCATAAACCCTCCAGTGCATTCAGTTTTAGTTTACTGTCTTACTTTAAGGAACCAATAGAAGGAAGTCATCTATCAGATTATGAATTGTTAGTATATTTTCAACTTATATATAAATTGTCTCAATTGATTCTTATAAAGAAATAAAAGATTTAATATAGCTAATTATGATAAGTTGCTAATTGTTAATTATTTATTTTGTTTAATTCTCATAATTATTTCAGGGAACAGGCTGATTTTCTGTCAAATTGGCCAGCTGAAGTAAAAAAAGAATCAGACATTGTACCATCCAAGCTCACAACCAAACCAAGTCATTTATTAGAGCCTGAGCTGTTAGTATATAGTCAATTTATTTTAAAATTCTATGAATGTATACAGCAGAATCCTGGCAATCTAAGCAAATGGGGAACTACTGTCACTAACTCAGTTTTAATGAAAATTTGGATTTGAAGAATTTTCCTATCATTAAAAGAACTTTTTGTCGGAAAACTGTAAAAAAGAGCAATATATTTTATAAAATTGCTTTATATAAAAGCTTTATTTAAAATTGCTACAAAAACGATGCCGCGAACGATTATATTATGTGTATCTTTTTTTTATTTGGTCTTTTAATTTTTTGTGTGAATGTTTTATAAATCCACGCTACACAAAATTACAGTGTTTAATCTGCAAGGGATCTAAAGATGGATTACTTAAAATTGAACCAGATTGAGTTTTTAAACTTTGCTTACTTTTTATTATTACTTAGGGTTTTTAAGTCAATAAAATTTCTCTTGTGTCTAATAAAAACTCTCTGTCTCAATAAAAACTCTCCATATTATACTTTATTTACTAAAAAAAAAGGGGGGGGGAAACTTATAATTACAAAGAAAATTTTGATATGGTAAAAAATAGGAAATTGAAGGATTGAATTAAAAAAACCCAACATGATTTGAAAATACTTGTTTAATGCATACTAATACTATTTTAAGAAGTAAATTAATTTTTTTGTCATCTTGTTTAGAAGCGACATAATTAGTACAACATTAACTAGAATTGAAAGTAAATTGACCTATGTTTGGAAATTTTTGTGTATCATTTTCCTAAAGTAGCTTCAAAAAATTTATAAAGTTTGTTTTGTTTAATATTAAAACTGTATAATATATACTAATATTGCAAAAAATATTTTTCACTGAAGAATGTATGTTGGTTATTAAAAATATTAATTTTATTCATACAATTACTGTTTTAGAGTAAGGACTATTTCTTTGCCCAGTTCTTCAGCTAAAGCCAAAAAGGATTTAGATAATAATTTTCTGAAAGAAGCAGTCAAGAGTATTCATTCATCAGATTCTGAGACGTTAGTATATCATTTATTTTATTCTAGAATATCATCAGTGAGTTAGAATTATTTCATCTTGGAAATATTCTTTCAAGAGATATTAAGTTCACACATAATTGGAATAAATTTTTGTTAAAATTTTTTAGTTGTAATTTCACTAGAACATCTGCTTCAAAATCGTTTTAAAATTTATTTTGTGTCTTATTAAATTATGTGTTATTTTATCAAAATAGCTTTGATTAAATAATATTTATTGATTATTAAAAGTGTTAAATTCTTATTATATTATGCTTTATGCATGGAATTATTAGTTTAGAGCAGTGGTTCCCAACCTGGGGGCGATAATCCTTAGGGGGGTGATCAGGGGGCGACGAGTACTCAAAAGATAAAAATTGCTAATAATATTAATAATAAAAGTTATTTGAGATTGAAATTGAAAATATATATAAAACCTTTGGTTCTGGTGTAGACAAAGAATTATGATAGTTAAAAATTTAAAAAAATTCAAGTGCAGGATCGTTTTTGTCATATGTTTTGGTATCGCAGGCGGAAATCTGATAAGTCTCTCTGTTCCTCTGAGCAATAATACTGTTTCCAGGCGTATTGATGAGATGGCCGCCGACGTTGAATCAAAACTCATCAAATTTCTGATAGAAGTTCAATTTGGGTTGCAGATTGATGAATCAACTGTGATAGATAACAAAGCTGTTTTAGCTTACGTGAGATTCATAAATAAGAGTAAGGAGATTAACGAGGAAATGTTGTTTACAAGAGCTTTGAACATAGATACAAAAGGATCGTCGATTTTTAAATTGGATAAGGATTATTTTGAGGTAAAAGAAATTCCCCTCACAACTGTAAGTGCTTGTGCAACAGATGGTGCACCAACCATGTCTGGTTGTCATACTGGGTTTCTGGGTCACCTTAAAAGAGAAGTACCGTTAGTTATCTCACCATTCATTATGTCATTCATCGTAAACTTTTGGCTGCGAAAAATTGGTTATTTCTGGCATCAATAAAATAAAAGCTAATTCTCCCAATAACCGTTTGTTCCGAGAACTTTGCTATGAAAATGATGAAGATTTCGAATTTCTGCTCCTACATACAGCTGTGAGATGGCTTTCAAAAGGAAACTGAGCCGTTTCTTCGAATTGCTGGATTCGGTTACTGAGTTTCTCGACACCACTAATCCTGTTTTAAGTGAGAGTTTGAAGCAGCTTAAGTTGGAAACTGCGTACCTCACTCATAGTCTTGAAAAAATGAAGGAAATCAACTTAAAACTTCCAGGAAATAAAATGAACATTATCAAGGCTAAGGGAATCATATCTTCATTCATTCCCCAATTTTGATATCTACAAGTCAAACATTGGTCGCAAGGAGCTAATGCAACTTCCAACTCTAAAAAAGTGTTCAATGGCAGATATCGAGATTCTCGAAAATAAAATCTTAATTTTTACTGATCACCTTGATCTGTTATGGAATCAAGATTTAAAGATTTAATGAAATTAGAAATTCCGGATTGGATTTTCGATCCTTTCTCTTTTGAAGTTGTGGATAAGCTCACTTCCTCTTTGTAGACTGAGATTTTAGATTTGAAGTATGACTGCCNACCCAAACTGGTGCCAGCAGACTTGTTGCTGTATCATGTTAGAGTTAAAAATAGCCATATTAAGCATAAACCATAAATAGGTACTAAGTTGTTCCAAGTATTGTAGGATGTATGCTAGCTTTTGTTTCGCTTAAAGACCTATTATCCGTAAAAACTATTTTCCTCATTTAGTATTAGTATTTATGTGCTCATATCAATCTTTATTTGTTTTTGCTGTTGCTTATCCCCAGACCCGTATAATATATATGAACGCTGTTGGCGGAAAATTTTTCATCATTACGGAAAGTTTTTATAACTGAAAATGAAGGAATCCTCCTCCTTTTCAGTGAATGTTTGTCTTTTTCAAATTCCTGAAATTTTTTTTATTTTTATACTTCTTCCTGCCTATGCAAACGTGATTTAATATTCACATGATTTAATATCACACATCACAATTCCAATTTTGTGATTTAATATTATGTTTTGCATTCCCGTAGCTTAAAAGCCAACAATTATGATTCATGTTCAAATGACTTAATTATACAACGAAATTCATATTCATGCAATTTTGAAATGAAACATCAAGATTCATATTCACACGATGTTTAAAATCAATCATTGAGATTCATATTGACAAAATTTTAAAGTCAAACACTGAGATTCTTATCAACATGATTTTAAAATTAAACATTGAGACTTGTATTTACGGGATTTTAAAATTAAATTTCGAGATTTGTATTCGTGTTGTTTAAAAATCGTACAGTGAGATTCATATTCACAATATTTACATAAAATCTTGCATCACTATTTCTATTAAAACATTGATAACATTTTGTGGATAAATGTTTCTTACGTAGACTTTTTTCTTGTTTAAATTTCTGATATTGTTTCAATTATTCAAGAAGTATTTTTGCACATGACATTTTTGGATTTTTATTTTCAACTACTTTATTTATTTTTTTATCAAACTCATCCTTGTGGTATGAATCAGTACATAGAGTTCTATAAAAATAAAAAAATCCTTGATTTTTCAAACAAATTTGCCGAAATGAGGTGGCAACAAAAGGGTTGACACTAGTTAGAAGAGTTAATCAAAGCATGCAAAAAGTTTTTTAATTGGGATTTTGTGTGTTGGCAGAAAGTTTTTCATTTTATCTCAGTCTGTTTATGTATCTGTTAAACTTGTATTGATCACAGTTGTTTATTACTACTATATTTTAGATTCAGTAAAGATGAAGAAATCTTCCTTACATTCTTTAAAGGCTTATATGTCAGATGAATCTAATTCTTCAGATAATCAAAGAACGGATGAGAGGTATATAAAAGTGTGAATTATATTTTATTATTGGAAAGTTAATGAGGCTTTACTTTTAAAAAATGCTGTGTGCTAATTCTTTGCTTTAAAAATACAGTGAAACTTCACAATACAAATACTCTTACAAAACAGACCCCTCTCATTATGGACATTTTTTTCATTTCCTGTGAATCATCTATAAACCATTATGTATCCTCTTTCCAAAGCAGACACTACTTTTACCGGATTTAGAAATCAATTTTTGCCCTTAAATCAAACAAAATTTTTTCTAAAATTGAAAATAAAGCTAATTCTACTTAACATTCTAAAAATATGCACCTTTCCTCCATTTCTTAAAGAATTTATTTTTTCCCCCCTATCTATAATTAAAAATGCTAGCTATTTCACCATTAAAAATAATCCTTCTCCTATAATTTTCCTTTATCTTTGCAAAGAAAGCAAAAAGAAATTATATTGTTTTTGTGTATTTAATGGATAATTTCTAAAATGACCAAAAGAGAAAACTTGATACTAAAATTTGTATTAAGGAACTAAAATATTTTTTTCCATCCAATAAGAATTAAATTTGTGTAAAAATGCTAAATGATTTTAAAATGTACCATGAATATATGGCAAATGACAGCTGCTAAACACAAATTTCTATCACATCTTTCTTTTTAACTGAATATAAAACAAAGGCATTTATATAAATTGAATTTCTTTATCTATTCTTTTTGTACTCTAAATTTTATAATTTTGTTAAGATAAAATAATTATCAATGTAAATAGTTATTAAATATTCTTTAATAATTTCTATATCCTTGCAATTCTTTTAAAAGCAATTTATGGCATTAGCCTTTCTTTTAAGTGTACATTTCCCTTTAACGAAAATTTTTTTTTGGTCCTAAAGCTGTCCGCTTAACCAAGGTATGTTAATTTTTAAAAAAAACTTATTTTTGTAATAATTTAATTAGAACTTGATAATTATTAACTGTATAATTTATTTAGTACTTGAATACTTGTTTTTATTATATAGAAGAGCAGGCATACTTTCAACTATTTTTAGATTTTTTATTACCTAATCAACTCTGTATGTATCAAATTTCTCTGTTTTCTTAACCTTTATGAGTTAAGCAAACTTTATGTAGATTTACAGCATCGTAGATTGAGAGAACTTCAAAAACTTTTATCTCAAAGCTGCATTTTTAAAATGGGGCTAAAAATATTTGCAAAGACTATGAGACTAGTTGCTTTTTATTTAAAAAAGAGAAAATTCTTGAAATGAAAAATTTTTAGACAGTCACCTTTATAGCAAATCTTAACTTTTTAACAGTTTTGTATTTTTGGAAAAATTGCTATTTCACTTTACAAGAATTAGTTTTGGTTAAGTCTTTAACATTTTTTATTAAGATCATTTCATTTCAAAGTTTTGTTGTATTTGTGCGAAAATGTGTTTAATAGACCCATTGGTGCATAAAACATGTAGGTTCAATTGATTTTTGTCATACACATAGAGTATGAGACAAATAATTTGATTTTTTTTCCAATCCAAAGATTGCAGATACCATCTTGGTTTGGCATTCTTCTACTTTTTATTATATTTTTTTGATAGGAACAAAAGTAATGACTCAAATGGTAAAGTAACACAAGAGCTTGACGAGAGTATACCTACAACTGATGTATATGAAAAAGGTATTCATTCCTCATCCCTGAACACCACAATAAACACTAGAAAAAGGAAATATATAGAGAAGAAATCAAAACAAAAACAGTTTAAAAAAAATTCTAAAAAGAAGCACACAAAAGACATTTCCACAGAAAAATGTTATGTGCCTAAAGAGTAAGTAAAATTTATTATTTTTACCGGTTTCTTAAGTTAGAGATACCTAGATAATCTGACTTCTTAGTCAAATTTTATTTTATGATTCAAAGTTAGAGAGCTTAAAATTATGTAAAAATTTGTATATCTTAAAATTCTAGAAATTTTTTATTATTGAATTATTATGTAATAAGGAATAATATATAATTATGTAACATTATTTTTCATGGTATTTTTAAGATAAATAAATTTTATAATTGTACAAAGCATTTTTAATTTGTTTTTAATCATTCAGAGTCTTAATAACTTTAACTAAA